TGAGTCAGGATTACTATTACTTGAAAGTCATTGAGTCAGGATTACTATTACTTGAAAGTCATTGAGTCAGGGTTACTGTTGCTTAAAGATCATTGAGTCAGGGTTACTATTACTTGAAGGTCATTGAGTCAGGATTACTATTACTTGAAAGTCATTGAGTCAGGATTACTATTACTTGAAAGTCATTGAGTCAGGATTACTATTACTTGAAAGTCATTGAGTCAGGGTTACTGTTGCTTAAAGATCATTGATTCAGGGTTACTATTACTTGAAGGTCATTGAGTCAGGATTACTATTACTTGAAAGTCATTGAGTCAGGGTTACTATTACTTGAAGGTGATTGGGTCAGGCTGAAATTCTTAAAGGTGATGCTGCACAGAGCAGAGTATCTTTTCACCTCATTAGCATCACAGCATACCTGCACACTCGGATCCCATGGATTCTCAATGTCAAAGATACTCTACTTGGCATTGGAGGGATAAGGGGGGAGTGGGAAACAGATCTCACTTGCCCGCTGGTCGATCGATCGAACTCTATGAGAATCTCATGGGTAAAATTGACCCAGTGGTATACACACAATCCATGGGGCCCCGGTGCAAAACTGATGAGTGGGCCCCGTCCCCCTCTTTCACCCACTCCCTCCCCCCGACAGACACACAAACACACACATACAGACAGGTACATACAGACACATACACACACAAGACACATATACATACAAAAAGACAGGCACACATACATACGTACATACAAACAGACACACACAGACACATACATACAGACCGACACACACACACACATACAAAGACACATACATACAAACAGACAGGCACACACACAAACATACAGGCACACATACACACATACATACAGACAGACACACACACACACATGCACACATACACACACACACACACACACAAACAAACACGCACGCACGCACGCACGCACGCACACACACAACGTTTAAGTCACCCTCCTGTTTCCTACTTTTTAGGTGCAGGAGGATGACTTTCCGTGGGGTCCAGTGGTGGGTCAGCTTGATAGGAGTCAGAGTTCCCACTCTGACTCCCTCCTCTGCTTCCTCCTGCGCGGGCTCTGTGTGTTAGCTGGGAGGAGTGACGTGCAGTCACTTCCTCCCAGCATGTGATGTCATCACAGGGGTCCCGGTCGCGTGGTTAAAGCGCCCAGGCTGACCGGGCCCCCTGACAATCCATCTCCATCATGGGCCATCATGGGCCATCTAATGGGAATGATGACATCTTGGAATATGACCAAGCTCTAGCAGGCAGGGTTTCTCAAGTGTCCTTATCCTGGGGGCTAGCAGCATTCAAAGGCTAGATACAAAATGTCATACACTCCCCCAAAGCACCAAACCCGTGTCAGTGCTATGTTCCATAACAGGGCACATGATCTACACATCCTTAGGCAAATTGCTGTCATCTCCAGCCTTCTGGAGAGCAATCTAACTCGGAAAAGGGTGATGGGTGCTGGGTAATATAAAAAGGAGAGATAATGAAGTACTAAATGACTTGTAAATGTATAGGCTGCAACAGAGGTGATTATGTGTATGAAAATTAAAAAAACATCAAATACATATCAAAACACATAAACAACTATTTTCAGTTATGTGTATGCTAATAAGCCCCCAGTTCAGATTGCAGTTGCATTTGTTGCAGCCTATGGGAGGAGATTTATCAAGACACAAACAGTGTTGTTCTATGGCAAAGTGCTAAATAAAGAGCAATCACAGTAAACAGGGCCATCTATAATATGAATAGGACCCTGGGCAAAGCATTTTCTTGGGCCTCCGGGAATTTGTATTTTAATGTTAAACATTTGGTCCTCTAATGTATTTACTGTAAATACTGATAACGGAAACTAACTATTCTCAACTTACATGCTTCTGCATCTGAGAACATTATGAGTTATCGTCGACCGTACGTTATTTTCAGTGTGAATGCATTATAGTTCCAATAGAATTTTGACAAATCATCCATCTTTTTCACACGGTGATGGATATTGATGACTTAAAGGAACATTATCAGAACCTAAACCACTACAGCATGCAGTAGTGGTTATGTTGCCAGGAGTATCTTATTGCACTCACAGAGTATCTAGTAAAACTGTTTAAGAACGGTAGGACAGTTTACCTTTAATAACTAAAAATAGTATATTCATTTTCAATAAGAAATTAACATAAAAAAGAAGTATACTTCCAAAATAAATAATTCCAATATGCTAACGTATAAATGTCAAGTTATTTGTTATTATTATTATTATTATTTATATTGCGCCAATAAATTCCGCAGAGCTTTACAGTGGGTGGAGTAACAAACATGTAGTTGTAACCAGACAAGTTGGACACACAGGTACAGAGAGGTTGAGGGCCCTGCTCAATGAGCTTACATGCTAGAGGGAGTGGGGTAAAGTGACACAAAAGGTGAGGATAGAATTAGAGAAGTAATGCAATTGCAGGAGAGAATTCAGTTGTGAGCTATTAACAGTTTAATTTATACGCTTTTGTGAAGAAGTGAGTTTTTAATGATTTTGTTCATTCATTATACCTATTTGCATTAACAAAGATACATAAAAAAGAAGCATGAGAAAATTATTACTGAATTATTATGCTAACTCTTATTATTACTAATTATATTATAACCACTAATAAGGTGGAGATATATTTAAGATTACTTAGGAAACTGATATCTTTATTTAAAAAGAAACAAAATAATGAAAAAAAAAAATAATAAACCTCCAAAACTGAATATCCAGTCTTTACCAAATAATATGTTCAATGGTACAGACTAAACAAGAGAGACTGACACAAATAGTGCCTTGTAACGTGCCAAAAAAAAAGTGCATTCATGGCCAAATCTAATTATCCCTTTAGCGACAGCAGTAGCAATTTTAGTGTGCCTCGGGCAATGAACGGTCTTACCAAGATGGAACTGAAAAACAGAAAGCCTTATTTTGGAAGCTATAAATTATTCCGAAGAAGAATTTCGCCTTTGTCAAAAACAACCAAAATAGACCCACTTTGTTTTTTTAATCTTCCAATTCATATTCACACTTTGCAGTGGAGGGAGTCTTTTTACTGGGCACTTTTACTATATTTAGCTGGAGTAAAAAATATTCGAGTGAAAACATTTCATTCCCTCTAACAAAAATAGCCGTATTATACTTACAATATGAATAGTCGGCCATTTTGCAGGACGTACATTTGAACTTTCATACTGTAGACCCAAGAAACGTGTTACTTATATGGATCTTGTTTCTCTATAATACCACTCAAAGTATTTTAGAGACAAACAAAAGCCTTTTAACCATTGCATTTAGTATAGTAAGCAAGAGATATTCTACTTCAAATAGACATTTTGGGGATTTTTATTCTAAATACGATGGTCAAAAGGCTTTTGTTTTTCTCTCAAATAGATTACTGTTGATTTGTAGCCTGAGGGCCTACTAGTCCTAGACCGCTGGCAAAATTAACTGGATTCACATTACTAAGTTAGTCACGTTTATTGACTAAATAGTGATTTTGTTTGTTGAATAAATAATGAACTCACTAATTTTAGGCAAAATGCAAAAGTTGGAAAAGTGTTGAGGAGGACAGGCTCAAATTTTCTAATTGAACGGAATTCATTGTGTAGTAAATAAATAAAAACATTACAAACTGTATTATGTTCTATCGGGCACAATTAAACGTGCACCTCCCAGTTGGTGGAGGTTCTTTCAAGGACCTCTTGGTAGTCAAGGGACTAGAACTCAATACCTCTAAATTCACAAATATGCAGCCATTAAATTATGAAACTAACGTATCTGCTTCCTTCTTACATCCTCCGTTTTTGTTCATAAAAATACAGAAATGTCTCTCCATATCCATTCCTAAATCCTCGTAGTGGAATTTCTACCCTGCTGGTAGAACATTTGTTGCAATAAGGAGATTAACATTTTATTTTTTCACAGGTTACAGGACCAGAAACTGAAGATCACTTTCTTTTTGAAGACTGCATTACTACCTTGATACAATGCACCCTTCTATGCTATTGGTGGTATGGATAGGATGTCTGCTTCTTGGTGTTAGCTCTCTGGAGGCTCCCTCAGCCAGCTCAAACCCACCACAAACAATGAACTCCGAACAAGCCCATCGCATTGTACAACTGGACACCAACCAAATTGGTGAATCTGCCAACTTATCAGATGACGATGTTGGAAACCAGTCATTTCCACCAAGACCACCGTTATCTCCACCGTGCGTCACTCGGTCGAAAATCAGACATGCCTTCAAATATGTCACCACTATTCTCTCGTTTGTCATATTTCTTGTCGGGATTGTAGGAAATACTACGCTTCTCAAAATAATATACAAGAATAAATGCATGAGAAATGGACCTAATGTTCTGATCGCCAGCTTGGCTTTGGGCGACCTGTTCTACATTATTATTGCAATTCCTATCAATATTTACAAGGTATCTTGATATAACTTCATGTTAACTATATATCTTTTTGTTTAGAAGTAGTGTATATTAACATTATAGTGGATTGTATATTCTTCGGGGGAAAAACAAGGTGAATTGGAAGAATGGGGGAGGGGGGAAGGGGATTAAAAGTTCTTCATTTCCATGATTTATGCCCTAATATGCAAGTTGTCTGTACTTCAAGCTGAATTTCAAATTTAAGAGCAAAATAAATTATAAATAAAAATATAATCATTATAGATAATAGCACACACATAAATTTACTCTTATTGTGTGAATTTTAGCCTCATGTGCTAAATTTTAATTTAAAGGGACAACTATAGTCACCCAGACCACTTCAGCTCAATGAAGTGGTCTGGGTGTCAGGTCCCTCTAGGGTTAACCCTGCCTGATGTAAACAGTTTACATCTGGGGTTAAGCCAGCCTCTAGTGGCTGTCTTCGGGACAGCCACTAGAGGCGCATCGGCAATGATTGAGGCGCATTTGACGCCGGTGACGTCAGACAAGGATGCTGACGTTGGCGGGGGAGGAGAGGTAAGGGAGCCCGGTGTGGGAAAAGGGTGAGTAGCTGAAGGGGTTTTAACCCCTTCAGTGCCGCGGGAGGGGGACCCTGAGGGTGGGGGCACCCTCAGGGTACTATAGTGTCAGGAAAACCAAGCGGTTTTCCTGACACTATAGTGTCCCTTTAATGGACTGGACTTGCTAGCGGGGCATTGAACTTGTTGAAAAGGGCCATGGGAATAGGCTTGTTTAAGTAACTTTTCTAATTTTGCCAGGATAACATATACCACATGTACACTGATAAGAGAGAGAGAGTGAAAAAACAAGGGTACATTACTTAAATAGCTAATTTTGGCCATATCTAAAAGTCTGAGCTAAAACTTTTTTTTTGTTTTTTTTTGCAATCCGCTTAAAGGAGAATTGCCTATTCACAAATGATCAATTGTAGGTTTTGAGAAATGTCAATAGTACAACATAAGTATCACCTGTAAATTTTCAATCTCTGTATTTTTCTCTGCAGTTACTGGCTGGAAACTGGCCATTTGGAGAACATGTCTGCAAGTTGGTCCCATTTATACAAAAAGCATCTGTTGGTGTCACAGTACTAAGTCTTTGCGCACTGAGTATAGACAGGTAACGTTTTATTTTTGGTTTTCTCAAATAGTTACACATTTTACAAGCATATGAATGGCTGAATTAGAATTTCTCTGTCATTTACTTCTGTCATTGGTATCCAATAAAAAAACAAGATATTTACAGCTAGTGATTATAGTAGAATAAAAAAAAAAAAAAAAAAATAGATGTTTTTTAAGCTGTATAGTTGAAGTAAAATTTTAAAACGAATCCAAGAAGCATATGTATTGTACTCGTCCATGCTAAAGCTTGCATGTAATTGCCATAAGCAATACTAAATGTGTATTCATGAATAGATCTATTGTAATAGGGAGACCATTTTCTTAGAAGCAGATAAAGTCCAATATTAATAGTACCATTTCAGGATATCTGGTGGAAACTCTAGAGCAGGGGTAGGCAACCGTCGGCACTCCAGATGTTGTGGACTACATCTCCCACACCGCTCTTACAGCCATAAGGCTGGTAAAGCATCATGGGAGGTGTAGTCCAAAACATCTGCAGTGCCGAAGGTTGCCTATCCCTGCTCTAGAGCATTTAGAATACACCAGACGGATTTGCAACTCTAACTCTAGGGTAGGGATAAAAAAATAAATTATATACGGTATATATGTATATCCTTGTTTGGAATTATAACTTACATAATGCTTTGCCAGCCTTTCTAGCATTTTAGTAGCCATAGTTCTTCCACAGTCCTAGTATTTAGTCAGAGCGAATGGCAGTGACTATTTTCTTTGTTATATTTTATACTTTGATATCAACCCACTTTAAGATTAGCTTATGAGCATGGTCATGTGAGAAAGTACTGTAACGTGGATCTTTTTGGACGTTTTATTAGGTACAGAGCTGTGGCATCCTGGAATCGTATTCAGGGTATTGGAATCCCAGTATGGAAGGCTATTGAGTTAACTCTGATTTGGGCTGTAGCCATCACTCTTGCTGTTCCAGAAGCCATTGCCTTTAACCTGGTCAAACTAGAGGACAGAGAACAAGTCATGTGGGTCTGCATGATGCCTTTAAAGCAGTCGTCTTACTTTATGACGGTAAATTATATTACAGAGTTATACTAATTGTAAAACTACACTCTAACACACTAAAAGCACACTAGGATGGTGTGCTTTTTAGAGTAGTTTTTAATTCAGTATATACAAGTAGCTATGACATGCATTATTTTATAATAATAGCCTCACACCATAACAAAAGTCTACACAAAAAAAGGCCAAAAGAACACGTTGAGACTATTTAAGACCACTTCCTTTGCATCACAAGTAGGGAGTAAATATTAAGATCCCCATTATTGCAGGAAAGTAATCATGGCTCTCTTCTCCAAAAAAGTACACTGGGTAAGGGATAAAGCAAAACAAAAACATAAAAAAAGAAAAAAAAATGGATTCAAGGACACTAGAAAATGATATTAAGTTTAAATGTCTATATGTTTCCGCACTGTTATACATACACAATCAGTGGTTCCTTTGTTAAGTATACCAGTTCTTTAGTGCACATAGGCAAACCGTAAATCATATGTCTGCAACTCAGTACATAAAGCATACATCAACAAGATGGATAGTTATTGACCAAACATGAATCTGAGGATGATGATGATTTGTCATCTAAGCCAGTATTTCCAATCCCAATCCTCCAGGTACAGCAACAGTCTAAGATTTAGGCATTCAAAAGTTCTGTTCTTACGGGGGTAATGATAAGGTCGTGGCCATTGGTATACCTTAAAAAGAGTAGGGTGGCAATATATGTGGGTTCAACAACGTGCTTGTTGGTGACAAATGAGTGGTTCAAGCATCTTGGAAATGAGCTCCAGGGATATTCACGTGTTACAATATTTAGATGTTTCAGACTATGGTAAACAGTGAGTAGATGTTTTGTGGACAAAGTCACATTGTCAACGAGAGAGAGGTCAAAGGCCAGACAGTATAGTCACTAGATCTCATTCACACAGAGACTGACTTTGGGAGCATGACTGCAGAAACTTTGTGAGATTCTTCTAAGTCAACGTGGAATTTTTACACCACCTTGCTCATTGCGTGCAAATAACTCTGGCTTTGCAAAAGGCACAGTGTCTTCCTGTAACTAGGTAGGAGTGTATAAAAATTGGCCACTTAGTAGACAGCATAGCTTTCAGTGCGTACTAAAAGCGGGTAGTGGGGAGGCAGCCTGCCCCGGGTGCCACTCACTAGGGGGTGCCATCAGGGGCGTACTCTGTGTTTGGCTCCCCCCCCCCCTTAAAAAATGTAAAACAAAAAAACCCCACAAATTTGTTTTCATAGTTTTTAAGAATATTTATTGCACATACAAATTGTGCACCCACCCTACACATCAAATTCATACCCACCCTTCATATAAAAACCCTGCACCCCTCATCACAAAGTTCATACTCCCCCCCACACACATAAAAACCCTTCACCCACTTCACAAAGTTCATACAGCCCCTACACATAAAAATTTTGTGTTGGGAGGGCACAATTTTTATGTGCAATAAATATTTTTGAAAACATTGAAAAAAAATGTGTGGGTGTTTTGCTTTTTTGTACATTTTTTTTAAGGGGGAAGGGAGGGAGGGGTGCAAAACACAGGGTCCGCCCCGGGTGCCAAATGCTCTAGGTACGCCCCTGATAGCTATCTTATGTTTGCCAAAAAGAAAGGACAATGTTAGGTACATGATAATATGTGATATATCCTTTTATGTAACATCTCTCCCTCTCTCTATTTCTATCTATCAGTTATATCAAGAAGTGAAGGTATGGTGGCTGTTTGGGTTTTACTTTTGCCTGCCCCTGGCCTGCACAGGAGTATTCTACACCATGATGTCTTGTGAGATGCTGAGTATGAAAAACGGCATGCGGATTGCCCTGAATGACCACATGAAACAGGTATGAACTCAGACATATTGGGAGAACAGAGAGGATCTTAGTCAGAGCTTAATTCATATAATCAGGAGGAAAAAAATGATAGTATGCCTTCTCTTGTAAAGACTGTTTTCGGTCACGTGGTAATATTTGCCATATTGGGTGAACAGAGAGAACCTTGTTGTGGATTTAGTTACCATTCATATAATGATGAAAAAAGTGGCATGACAATACCATTTCCTTTATTTTACCCACTGTAATAAATACTGAAACTTCTGAAAGATCTGGTTTGCTCAGAAAAAAAGGGTTGGCTATATGAATAGCTTGGAGGAAAGACGAGACAGGAGGATATGATAGAAACATTTAAATATATAAAGGGAATCAACACAGTAAAGGAGGAGACTATATTTAAAAGAAGAAAAACTACCACAACAAGAGGACATAGTCTTAAATTAGAGGGACAAAGGTTTAAAAATAATATCAGGAAGTATTACTTTACTGAGAGGGTAGTGGATGCATGGAATAGCCTTCCAGCTGAAGTGGTAGAGGTTAACACAGTAAAGGAGTTTAAGCATGCATGGGATAGGCATAAGGCTATCCTAACTATAAGATAAGACTAGGGACTATGAAAGTATTGAGAAAATTGGGCAGACTAGATGGGCCAAATGGTTCTTATCTGCCGTCACATTCTATGTTTTTATGTACCATCATTCATGTTTGTAGGGGGTGGAGGGGAAGAAATATATATATATAATTCTTTTTTTTTGTGTGTGTTTTATTTATATGTATATATATATATATATACATATAAATAAAACACACACAAAAAAAAAAAAAAAAAAGAATTTTTCATACGAAGCCTTTTAACTTGTCCACTCTAATTTCAGCGAAGGGAAGTTGCAAAGACTGTTTTCTGTCTGGTGGTAATATTCGCCCTCTGCTGGCTTCCCCTTCACGTGAGCAGCATATTGAAAAAAACCGTGTATGATGGCACCGATCCAAACAGATGTGAACTACTTAGGTAAGAACAAGGCCAATGTGTAACAAACACAAAACAATGGGTGGGGAAGTGACAAATGTCGTTCAAGAGATCCCCTTTATATCAGAGCAGTAGCTCTTTCAAAAATATTTAGAAAGATTTTTTTATTTTTTTTCGAAGACACACTTCGCACGTACATTACAAGATCTACCCATCATTTTAACAGGCACATCATGTTTTTTAAAATATCGTACCATGTTAATACACACCAGGTGACATACTGTGCATTAAACACAACCATTCATGGTGGGACTTACATTGTTCAGCACAGGATCCTTGTCTCAGGGAAGCATAGACTACAGGTCCTTTACTGGTTATATATCAATTATATTTATTATATTTGTAACTGATGGAAACTCTACTATATTCCAGAAAAAAAAAAAAAGAGTGTGATTCCCCCATAGGGAAGCATTGGGAGGCTAGTGCACATGTGCTGCAAATCGCTACTCTGTGCCAATCAAATGCTCTCTAAGAGCAGCAGGAGAACCAAGTCTGACTCTGTACCCACAGGAAGACAGCCATTAGATGTGTGTTTAAACCTGCAATGGAAACACTGCAGGGTTAAAACTAAATTGAGAAGACTTGGTCTTGATGCCTTTAGTGTTTCTTTAAAGGACCACTATAGTGCCAGGAAAACATACTCGTTTTCCTGGCACTATAGTGCCCTGAGGGTGCCCCCACCCTCAGGGACCCCCTCCCGCCCGGCTCTGGAAGGGGAAAGGGGTAAAAACTTACCTTTTTCCAGCGCTGGGCGGAGAGCTCTCCTCCTCCTCTCCGCCTCCGTTACGCCCCGCCGGCTGAATGCGCACGCGCGGCAAGAGCTGCGCGCGCATTCAGCCGGTCTCATAGGAAAGCATTTACAATGCTTTCCTATGGACGCTGGCGTGCTCTCACTGTAATTTTCACAGTGAGAAGCACGCAAGCGCCTCTAGTGGCTGTCAATGAGACAGCCACTAGAGGATTAGGGGGAAGGCTTAACCCATTCATAATTATAGCAGTTTCTCTGAAACTGCTATAATTATGAAAAAATGGGTTAACCCTAGAAGGACCTGGCACCCAGACCACTTCATTAAGCTGAAGTGGTCTGGGTGCCTAGAGTGGTCCTTTAAGGTCCGAAGGCACAGATAGCAGCTTCTCCAAGGCAGTGTAACTCTCATCAATCCTAAACAGACCAATGGATGTCCAGTGTTGCCCTAAGATTAGAATTACCCTATTCCTAAAATATTACATAGGATAAAAGATACATTCAGCTGAAACATGTAACATGTGAAAGTAAGGTCTTCTCAGTGCTCAGGAGACGTCCATAAACCACTCACCTACAGTCATATAAAAACATACTAATTAAGAAAGCATCCCAATTTCAAAGATTTAAGGGTATGAAAAACAATCTAGGACTACATATTCAGGAACTGTTTACATTGTAAATACCAGTTAGAAGTCACTAGTGCGTATATATAATTTACTGCTGTTTGATGCATGTCTACACCTCACGCTTTGGTTTAATAGGACCTAATTAGGGACTACTGTCCTGCCATCCCATTTCTGGTGACAGTAATATCACACCTTTATCAAGCTATTAGATATGTTCATTTAAGACGAAGGTCTGATTTTTCTAAGCACTTTCTCAGCCCTTGATGAATGACCGGGCCTACTTGGCTGGCTGCATTGTAGCAGGACCTGAAAATACTTTTATAACAACCAACCAATACCTCAAAACAAGTGTTTAAATGTCATAAAAAGTAACACAACAACCACTTCCCATTACTTGATGTGTGTAGGAATTTAATAATTCCTCATTAATTAAGCCCACCAAGATCTAATAAACACTGGAACTGAGATATAATGTATATAAGATCTGGGAAGTCAATTGAGAAGTATCTTACAGAAACAACACATTGCAACATCTATATGGAAAATTCCTAGATTTTACTATTAACATGACGTAAAGTCATGATTTTATTAAAGACACGGAGGCGAGTATTATGCTTCTCTTTCTTTAATTCTCCCTCAGCAGCGAAGAGAGATATATGCAAAAGAGAGAAAAAAGAACAAATACCATTAGCATATTGACAGTGCTATCATAGGTATCCACCCCCTTAGTATATAAGGTGTAGATAGATCCGAAGACCAGATCCATAACCGAACTATAAACTTGGCCCGAACAGGAACAGTGGCCGATAGGTAAATGTCCAATCTTTGAGGTTAGACTGTAGCGCCTTGTATTGGAACTTCGACACCTTGATAGTATAATTCAGGCTAAAAAGAGAGGAGAAAATATGGTAACATTTGGTCGGTAACTGGTTGTATCATGTATCCCCACATAGGTTATAACTTATTTACAGAATTGTAGTCATGTCATCAAAACACAAGATATTTAGTTAAGATTATGTCTACTTGTATCACATAGCCACTTACCTGAGTGACGTATGAAAAAACCTTCTAATAGGGTAATTTTTTCGTAGGGGCCCACCTGATCTGTGGTCGATATCCGTGAGAAATCCAGGGAGGGCGGGAGGGGATAATACTCGCCTCCGTGTCTTTAATAAAATCATGACTTTACGTCATGTTAATAGTAAAATCTAGAAATTTTATTAAAGACACGGAGGCTCCTATTATGCTCTTTCAAAGCTGAGCAATAACTCTTTGTGAGAAATGTTGGATTGGTTTAAAATAGAAATTCCGGAATGTGGATTCCGTAGACCAGTCTGCGGCCTTCAGGATGTCTTCTAATCGACACCCTATTGTCGATGCTTTAGAAGCCATAGCGCCTCTGACCGAGTGGGCCGAAAAGATTGTAACATCTATCCCGGCCGAAGCTAATAACCATTTGGCCCAACGGGCGAGAGTAGGTGTAGCTACTGGGAGGTGCGGTTTCTTTAGTGAAATAAACAAAGGGCCGTTATTTGATGGTCGTAGGGAAGAAGTACGGGATTCGTATTCTTTTAAGCACAGTATTGGGCACATATTCGGTTGGTTTGGAAGGCGTGGATAGAAGACTTGCTTAGTTGCCGATTTTGTTCTCCGTGAAATATCAAATGACACTCCTTCCGGAGTGAACGTGCGGGCTAGCCAGTCCAAGGCCCTTACATCTGACACTCGTTTACAGGATAATAAACATAAAATCATGAGTAATTTTGCAGACAATTGTTTAATTGACAGTGCCGTGTTGTCGGGCCATTCCTCCAGGAATTTGAACACTATGTTGACATCCCAAAAGCATCCGTATCTGGATTTAGGTGGACGTGAGAAACGTATACCTTTGAGTAGGCGACATACCAGGGGCTTCTGTCCGAAAGGAATTCTGTCCACAGTATCATGACCCGCTGAGATAGCAGATCTGTAGCTGTTGACTGTACGGAATGCCTTGCCCGATTCGAACAATTGAGTGAGGAAGTCTAGTACTGTCTTTACAGAAGCTGATATGGGAGCCACTGATTTTTCCAGGCACCAATCGGACCAAGCTCTCCATGCCGTAGCATATGTGCGCCGTGTTCCTGGTGCCCAGACGTTCGCCAAGAGTTGGGTAGTTGTTCTCGAAACTTCCGTGATTTCCCAGGATCCCCGGAAAGGAGCCATGCCATGAGCCGGAGGATTCCCCGTTCTATCAGGTCGTGGTTCTTCCCATCCGGGTTGGTTAACAGGGACGCTTGATCCGGTAGTAACTGTGGGAAATCGATCGCCATTTCCAGAAGGTGAGGGAACCAGGGTTGAGATCTCCAGCATGGTGTTATCAAGACCAGCGTGGTTCTGTAGCGTCGAATGTACGCCAGAGTCCAATCAGGTTGAACGGGGGAAAGGCGTATGCTTGTCCCCCGGTCCAGTCCTGAAGGAAAGCATCTGTTGCCAAGGCCTCCGGGTCCGGTCGCCAGCTGAAAAATTGAGGAAGTTGTGTGTTCAGTCTGGACGCAAAGAGATCCATACTCAAGGGACCCCATAGTCGTGCGATCTTGGAGAAAACTTTTGGTTGGAGTCTCCAGTCCCCTAAATCCCTCAGGTATCGGGAGTTCCAGTCCGCGGTGTAATTGTCTAGGCCTGGTATGTGTTCCGCGGTCCAGTCCCCTCTTAGATTTCCAGCCGGTTTTGGCTAGAAACTGGGCTGAGGGTCCACTTCTGGGGTTTTTGCCACAGCATCAGGTATTATGGGTCGGGGGCATTCTGCTCTCAACTTATTACGGCCCTCTTGAGAGAGGGACTTAGGTACCCTGAGGGCCAGGTATCGGGCGATGTGTTCAGAGGGTTCCCACTCCGCAGAGCGTGGGTGCCTTAAGTTGTCAGGGTCAAATAGCGGAACATCTTTAGGGTCGCGGGCTGCTTCTGCCCCGGGCGCCCCTGAATGTGCAGAGGTACGTGTTGGCATCATGGGGAACTGTTTTCCCTGGAGGCTTTCACCCTCTGAGAGCTCGTCCTCGTATGGGTCAGAGTACGGGACATCTGACCCCTCATTCCCCTCCTCGTCTGAGTCAGACAGTATATCTTGGGTTCTTGCCCATTTCCAGTCTCTGGTAGCCGTAGCTCGCCCAGAAGCTCTATTGCGCAGTTGTTGCGCGCCATCATGGACAGCCTGAGGCATGTCAATCAGAGCAGGGTCAACCTGCATGGGGGGGGTCTTGTGAATGTCTGCGTTTGCCTAGCGCTTTGCGTCCTGGTAGCGTCCCTTCAGGAGGGGTATGGGTCAAGGCAGGAGTAGTGTGGGGTTGAACCTGCTTGAGTGCCTGTGTAATGGAGTCCGAGATGGTAGAGGACATAGCGCCCATGGCTGATGATATGGCCTTGGAAATAGATTTGGACATGGTGGTGTCCAGAAGGCATTGGAATTCTTCCGAGCCCATAAGCCCAGGGTCAACCTGGGGTTCAGGATCAGTAATGGCCATAGAGGGGCTAAGCTTGCCAGGGAATTTATCACCAGATTGCATGGTAGATAATTGAGTGCAGGGGGAGAAAATAACAAATAGGAAAACAACAAAGTGAAAGGCAGAGTACTAGGATTGATTAACCCAGGTACAGGATGGGAAGGTACAGGGAGATGGAGGGTAACTCCAAGGTATAAGGTTATAAATAGACTGTACCTGTCTGGAGAGGTGAAAGGATCGAAATCCAGCGTGTGAGAGGAACAAAATCCACGATACACGGTTTATAAAATGGCCGCCGCCTTAACCGGCGACCAGAAACCCCCAAAAAAATGGCCGCCGCGAGCTACCGCGCATGCGCGTTGCTCGCGAGCGTCGAAACGAGAGTGAAAAGAAATTGCCGCGCGGACGAAAGTAGGTACGAAACCCGGCAGAGTGTGACCGGGGAGGGAAATAGCCAATCCCAAAGGGTAAACTGAGGGTACCACGGTCACACAGCAAAAGAAGTGGGAAAAAGAAAAAGGGGGGATAAACAATAAAGAATATCCCAACAGCAGAGTAAATAACAGAGATAAAGCAATACAATATATAATATAGTATAATATAATCCCACCAGAGCACACTATAGATATAAGAGGAGAGTGTACTTATCTTCTGAGGGAGCAGCGAAGAAAGAGGAAGAAGCATGGAGTGCTACACCTTATATACTAAGGGCGTGGATACCTATGATAGCACTGTCAATATGCTAATGTTATTTGTTCTTTTTTCTCTCTTTTGCATATATCTCTCTTCGCTGCTGAGGGAGAATTAAAGAAAGAGAAGCATAATAGGAGCCTCCGTGTCTTTAATAAAATTATAGGTTAACGTCATCAATTCACTTTATTGTCTATAACCTCCAACCTGTGATGTAATTGAAAAGCCTGCAAAGACACACTTTTTTACGTCAAGTAATCAAGCTCGGCATCACATCAACTACGAAATTACAGTACAGGCATATATTTTTTTTAGACTACAAAATTTTCTGATGGGGGATGTTACCAACAGAAAATAAGGATTAATTAAACCTGGACTGTGATAGGTTAGAGAAGTGTTACATGATAAAACAGCAGAACATCGGAAAACTATCGCCTGATTGTAATGTAGGCTTTTGTGCTCAGCTGAATACTTAACAGGAAACATAGGCATTTTGTAACACGTCCCATTAATACACAATGTGACTCACCTGTGTCTGATCCATTTACCATAATACACCCCCAAACACTGGTATCTCACAAAAATGGCAAAACCACCTGGAAAGAATCGACAAGTCAGCTTGCATGAATCCACGATAGGCTGTCTGCCAATAAAGCAGTGGTGTCCCACTTTCGGGATAGCAGAACAGGAAGCCTAAATCGGGACTCTCCCACCGAAATCGGGACTGTTGGGAGGCACGTCATGTTTGTAAATATAGTTGAATATCCATACTATTAAATTACAATGATATTCCATTTCTGTTAACATTATAAAAGTACACTTTATAATCAAATTTTATTCTCTTCTAGCTTCTTTCTAGTCATGAACTACATTGGAATCAATATGGCCTCTCTGAATTCCTGTATAAACCCAGTGGCCCTCTACTTTGTCAGCAGGAAGTTCAAGAACTGCTTCCGGGTAGGGATGGTTAACTTTACAATACAGGAAGATGTCTCTAATGCATAAATATGGAGCATTTACTGTGATTTTTTTTTAACTTATTTTATGTTTTATTCCAATTGTTTGTTTTGATTTTTTAAAAGTATAAAGATTGCAATTATCAACAAACTCCAAGTTAAAGAAACACTCTAAACACATAAAGCACTTCAGCTAGTTTCATTTTTTTTTCTTCTCGTTTATAGCTTTTATTGGTGCAATCGTGAAACAGTACAACACAGTATGCAAAGCAACATTACACTGATTTGAAATTTTACACTTGTCAAATCGGTTAGCGTGTGTGTTGCATATACTATAACCACGCTTTACTATAACTTTTATGACTAACTGGGGGGGTGGGGGGAGGGTACAGAAAGAAAGGGGGTGAAGGGGAAACCCTGGTCTCTTTCCACCATCACTAGTTGATACCATCCTCTTGGCTGCGTTCTCTCACTTGGTTTGTTGATTGTTGTCTTGCCTCAGCTGTACGGGTTTAGGTGTCCTATTTGTAAAATTCTCATGTTAAGACCCTTAGCTAGCTATCCAGCATGCCCACTTCTTTTCATATTTATCTAAGCAACCATTGATTTTGCTAGCCATCTTTTCATATACGCTAATCGTATACATTTTATTTTGTTTCATTTTTTTTTAAAGTATTGAACAGAAATTTCAATAGAAAACAGTAATTTTATAAATGAATGCGGGCACATCTCCCTGGCTGTCAATCAAACAGCCAAGAAGAATTACTATTTCCTAGTGAGGCTCCATGCACATTTTCTTTTGGGGTATATTTACTAAGCTGTTTTTTATTTTTATGGACTGTTCATTTAATTTTGTTGTATACCTGTTTTTGCAGTCCTGCCTCTGCTGCTGGTGTCACAGGCCAAATATTACCATCACACCAATGGATGAAAAAGGTTCTGCTGGAAAATGGAAATCAAACGGCCATGACTTAGTCCTGGACAGAAGCAGTTCACGCCTTACCAACAAGTACAGCTCTTCTTGAAGGTTGAAAATGAGCCATAGAACAGGCTTGAAAAAGGACACGACCTTGATTCTAACCTTATTTTAATTGTACAAAGGTGTAGCAGCCAATCAGAATACTCCCCAAGTCTCCGGCAATTACGTTTTAGGAAATATATTCTCCTTTTATCTTTGTACAAAAAGAGTACAATTAGGGGAAGGTTTCCTTAGCTGCTGTAAATAGAGATATCACACACACACTATAAAGAAGGTTTCAACAGCCACTACATTTAAATCCCTTTTGGAACATCACAAATCTCTGTACCAGAACTTTTCCATTGGTGTTTACATAAAACTAAGCTCACCCATGATCTTTTTCTAACACTGCCACAAACCGTTGATTGTAGAGTATTTTTATTTGCATATACAAGACACTGAGAATAGGAAAACAAACAAAAAAGTGTTTGAGTGACTGGGTCACTACATTAACCTTTATTTGAATCCTAGTTTCAATTATCAATGTTCTTAATAAGATTTGAAGCACTTACTTTTGGCTTTTTATATACAAGAATCTCAGATGTTATTTATAGATGTATAAATACTATTGACTTGTCATTTCATGGATACACAAATAGTTTTGTGACTGTTGCCAGGTAGAAACCACAACTATCATATTAAGAACTAAAACTATTAAAAGGGATTAATTCAACAAATGATGTAAGTTTCATGTGCATCTTAACAAAACATTAACACACGCACACAAATATACATACGTAGACAAATACACAAACATACATATATACACGCACTATGTTATTGATGTATATTTTGTTTTAAAAAGAGTGCCTTTTTTCTATTTTAACACATTTCCACTTACGTGAATGTTGTGCTTCGAATACAATGATACATGCTCATTGAGTCCAGTATCATGTTAACAGTCAAGGACAACAGGAGCTCTGTGCTTTCCTCTGGATTACAGACTAAAAATGCCGTGTTGTGATGTCATAATTGGCGTCCTATGCCTCCAGCCCAGAGGAGGCAGAGCAACTTTGGAGTGTTCATTATACAAAAAAAAAAAAAAACTACTAGTAAACCAAGCTTGTGTCGGATATTGTAAAATATACCATGTAAATATATTGAACAATCAAACATTGGTACACATTTATTTACATTTAAGCTTCATTTGTTACTCTTTAATATAACTCTTTATTTTTCTAGCATTTAAAAAAAAAACAAAAAAAAACATTTTGTGGTTGAGTTGTAATAAAATGTAATGTAATCATTTCCTAACTCTAAGTAGCAATCTAAATGAAAAAAAACAAAATATTATTTACAAACTGTACATTAATGGCAGCTAGCGTCTTTGATGGCTCGTGGTTTTACTCCTTTCAGTTGCCATACATACCTGTTTCGATTCTGATCACCAGTTAACACACACCAAAGTTTTCAAGTTTTACAGGTGACTTATCAGATACATTTACATGACAGGTTATGGGATCAGAGCGATGATTCTTATTAAAATATGCATCTCATAGGTCAGCAGTGATGTTGATACAGCCCTGCTGTATTATAATAAAATATAGATCACAATAAGAGCTGGCCCAAGACTGCTTGCTACCTCGGTCCAAGGACAAAGTGCTCTTCCCCCATGCATCTAATGCCTAACTAACCTGTAAACACTATGACACTTAAACATGAATAACTACCCACAACGATATAATTAGCCACATACACTCAAACTGTCACAAAATATACACCATCTCTCTTCTGCGCTGATCGATTTTGCGGGCTGTGACCAGGGCAACACAGCTTACCATCCCCAGTCTGTTTTTAATGAAAATTACACCTTCAATGACCATAAATTGCATTTAGATTTTCAAAATACACAAATGCAGCAGTCTAATGCAAGCATGTGAAAAATAAAAGCTATAGGACTTGCCCTGGTCATCATCACAATTTCTATTTTTGAAGGGTAAACGGAAAGTAGAACTATATTCATAGAAAAAAGCCACATCGTTTTAAATTAAAGGAAAACAATTATTTGGCTCACTGGAAAATAATATAAAGCAACCCGTGTACTTTCCATTTGTAGAGTATAATCAGTAGACAAAATGCTATAATTGAAGGAGATCTAATCAGCACATTAACTTTGAAGCTGGGGCTCCTGTGCCCATGACAGTAAACTATGATTTTTCTGTTGGATTTAAAAGCCATAAAGGGAAAATTATCCCAAGACTATCGGCTGATGCACAGAAAAACGGACAAGCGAATGTCTCTTACTTCACTGTATGTTGTTAGCCACATATACCAATAATTTTTGCCTTTCACATTCTATTGTAAATAAATTTTAAACAGAATGACATTTGTTAATCATTTTATAATGTAAAGATGTAATAATATTGTAATAAACATACTTACATGATGCCGAGATCTTATTTTACAGAGAAGGGCAACTGGGAAGAAAAGTAGCATGCTAACCACTACATTTCAAAAATATGTTAATGGTTACATATAAAAAAAACAGTATTTTATATTTATTTTATTTTCAGAACAAAAAATGATTTCTCTATGCTCTGTGGGGAAACCACTCAAGTGTGAATTGTCGGGAGTTCATGGTCAATTTAAAATTTTGGGCCAAAAAAGCCAACCTGAACGCATAGCTGAGTTGACATTGGTTTTCAATTTGACAATTTTTAAGCGAAGATGTAGTACTTGTTTTTGAATTCCAGCCAATTCACACTTTGGTGAATAACCCTGAAAGGGTTAAGATACGACAAGCTTGGCTACAATATTGCCATGTTGGACCACAGCCAATTAGATTTCCAAGAAGGATCACTCTTTTCGTTAGTCCTGAGCAACGGAACATTGAGAATTTTACCTGCCTGTAACTTCAAAACAACTGTTCTAAAAATGTTATGTTTTAATGCAATAGCACCTTATTGGAATCAATAACATGATTTATATCCACATAACAGAGAACTAACAGCAACGCTTCAAAAGAGGATAAATTTGATCTGTACGGCTTCCTTGAAAACGTATTGGAGGGAGGCTGGTGGGGGAGGGAGAAGTTGCCAGACAAAAATCCACTATAGAATTACCAATGTTTACAGTTGTAAAATGATTTTATCTAGTGTTTAAATCGTTTTATATTGCGACAAGAATCGATCCTATTGCATCTATGAGCCAGTGCATTAGGGATCGACCGATATTGATTTTTTTTAGAGCAGATACCATTAATCTGTCAACTTTCAGGCCGACACCCGATAACTTGCCGATATTCTGTAAATTTACCATTTGGAAAAAATAAACTATTTCTAAAGGTAAATGCACAAAATAAACATGCCACATGTAGTGGATGCAGTGTGTTTAGACAGGGGAGCTGTGTGTGTTTGAGTAGTGGATGCAGTGTGTATTTGTGTAGTGTGTATATAATGAATGCAGGGTGTGTTTTTGTAGTGTGTAAAGTGAATGCAGTGAGTGTGTGTAGTGTGCGTAAAATGAATGCAGTGTGTATATAATGAATGCAGTGTGTGTAGCGTGCGTAAAGTGAATGCAGTGTGTGTAGCATGCGTAAAGTGAATGCAGTGTGTTTGTGTAGTTTGTGTATATAATGAATGCAGTGTGTTTGTGTGGTGTGTGTGTATATAATGAATGCAGAGTGTGTGTGTGTGTGTTTGTATAGTGTGTGTGTATATAATGCAGTGTTTGAGTGTAGTGGGTGTATATATAATGCAGAGTGTGTGTTTCTAAATGCAGAGTGTGTGTGTTTCTGAAGAGATGTAATTTATGTAAAGGGGGGTTGGGGGGGAGCAATTTTATTTAAATTTTTAATATTTAAATGTTTTATATGTTTTTTTTATTCCCCCCTCCCTGCTTGTTACCTGGCCAGGGAGGGGGGCTATGGCATTCCATGGTGGTCCAGTGGCATGTACTGAGCAGTGGGAGGGCCCACAGGAAGCGGTTACTTACTTCCCAGCAGCTCCCTTCAACTCCCATGTCAAATCTCGCGACCCTTAGTGCCGCGCGGAGTGTTGCCATGGTAACCCGTGGCAACACTCTGCGGCCGCGGGACTCGCGAGATTTGACATGGGAGCTGCTGGGAGGTAAGTAACAGCTTCCTGCGGGCCCTCCCCAGCACCGTCGGGCTTGTTATGGGCCCGGCAGTCCTCGTATGCATTATCGGCAATATTGGTATCTCTATTGGCCAATACCAATATTGCTGAAAATACCGAATATCGGCCGATAATATCGGTAAAACCGATAATCGGTCAATCCCTACAGTGCATGCTATTCTACGTGCTTCGAAGCAAAGCAAATTCTGAAATGGACGAATGTGCATTACCTGCACATCCCAAAGGAAAAATACTGCTTTAGACACAACCCTTAGCATTTCTAAAGAAGCTAACAAAATTGTATACTGTGAAACAAACAAAAACTCTGAGCTTGTATGAAACAGGACGGACCATTCAAAAGTTTTAGATTAGGTCACTAACAGAGCATTCATTGAATGCTCTCAGACCTTAAGTTAAGTCACACTGCAGGGGTCAGCTCAGGAGAGCTAAAAAGTTTCCTGCTTTGGAAATTCCTGTTCTCGGCAGATGGTAGTGGAGGTGGGAATTGGTGCATTGAGGACAGATGGGAAAAACTATTTTTGACGATTATCATTTCAAGGCACCATAGTGATTTAATTTTTTAGAGAAATCACAAGCAGTCTCAGTTCCGCTCAATATGTGTGGGTGCTGTTGAAATCGTCTACCACCAGCGCAGGCCAGAGCCCAAATGGATTAAAGGAGAACAGTCACCTTAACACTATATTTTAATATAATGAACCTTCCATCAAATTTCGTGGAAGTATATATATAAAAAAAAAATATTTTTATATATATATATATATATATATATATATATATATATATATATATATATATATATCACACATCCCTCCCTTTAGTATATGACAGAATCAATCAGCCATATGTACATACGCCTTGGGTCAGTCAGACAGGGTTTGTATTTGAAAGTTAGTCTGAGAATGTCACTGCTCTCTTAAGGGAGTGAAGCAGGGAAAACCATAGAGACTATATAGAGGTTTCCAACCACTGTTTGACCCAATATGGCTAAAGGATGCTGTCATAAACTAAAGGTAGGGATGAGATTTTCTCATTTGTTTACATATACGTTATTAAGCACAAAACCTATTTACTTTCAAAACCTGATAAAAGGATCATTATATTAAAAAGAAATAGTGTTGCAGTGTCTCAATGTAATAAGCATTGTATTAGGAGGGAGTGCATGCATGTGACACTGTTCTGAATGTAAAAACACTGGGTGAAAAAGCAAATTATAACTAACTTACAGCACTAATAGCAGGGAACATTGTGTTGGCTTTATTGTCTTTTAAACCTGAAATGAACACAGAACTTCAAATATTGTTTTTAAAAAATTTTATATTACAGAACATTACAAATATATTTACATGCATTGGAAATATAAATTTCCTCACTCCATCCGTTCTTCCTTTTGTTTCTTGTAATTGCTCACAGTAGTCTGCAAACAATAAAAAAATAAATATATATTATTTTTATGGCGTACACATAGTATTTTCATGGAAGAATGATGTAGCACAGGCAAAAAAAACCAACAAGCTGTCATTACACCACAACCGCCAATCACAGACATACACACACAGTGTTTAGACATGCGACTGTAACAAGATATCAGATGGAAGGCCCATATCTTACTATCACAGATGTCCTTGTTAAATTGACTTTTATACATTCATAAGGAACTGCACTCAATCCCATCAATCTGAGCCAGGGTGCAACTAAACCAGAACCAAGCACCAGACTCCAATGGCAATGATGTACAATACAAAAATGGTTCAGAACAGGCAATTTTATTAGAACCCACAGCAACATTTCAACCTTGCGGTCTTTGTCATGCTTGACAAAGACCGCAAGGTCGAAACATTGCTGAGGGTTCTAATAAAATTGCCTGTTCTGAACCTTGTGAAACTGACAATATTAATTAGCATGTGAAGGGCCACTAAAAATCTGAATTTAAGGATCTGTATGAAAGATCATCAGGAAGAAAGTTTAAATTATTGTACGAGCAGGTATCATCGTATAAGTATCATCATCATCTGAAAAATTAATCTTTATTTAGATGTAAAACTTGGTCACACCAAAAAGAGTTATCTTACAGAATTGTAGTTTTGCAATTTTATAGGAAAAATTATCAGAAACACCCATACTTTTAGCTGGCTTGACACATTATGGAGCATACAGGGACAGAACTCACATTTAATATATGCTACAAGAACTCAGGGCTGAAAAGCACTAAATACAGGTTAGAAAATGTTCACTTCAGTGATAAAATATCTGTGGCAGTTTAGAAAGTGTGTATCTTCTAGTGTGTAAAGTTTATAATTCAGTACAAGCTTTTACTCTAGCAAAAGTTTGTTTCACACTTTACTACACATGGAACGTTATTGACATATTAAAAAACAAAGACGATAGGGGTAAACTTAGCGCTTGAAGCAGAATGCAAATAATAAGACACATCTGGGATGTGGGAATAGCAATTATCATTCTGCCGTCTGACATCCAACCTAATTTAGGAAGAGTTATTAGGGTACAGTTGGCAACAGCTTTTTTTTCAAATAACAGAAAATAAAAATATATTCTTTTTTTTTGGGAGGAAAGGGGAATAAAAATAGTTATGAAGACACGATGCTCCAAACTGGTGGGGGTCACATCTCCAATAAGTCTTACACCAAATTCCTTGTTTACTGAACAGACCCCCTGGGTGTCCTGGAAAGTTATTTATCAAATATACACTTCAGTAAAATCAACAGTGCTGTGAAAACTGTGAATCTGTCTAAAACAACTAAAAAATAATCATCCACTGCCAGACATGCAGTCTCGTTCCATGAGATGCTATCCAAGTACACAAACTATGTTTTTGTCCATGAATGTTTAATAAGCACATTCTAATCTAAAACCATGTACAACCATATGGGTTAATAAAGAAATATCTTTTTTTTTACCACCACTTTTCAGAATTTTCCGTTAAACATTTTCAGATAAAATATTACAAACCTAGAAAGACATGTGACTGCTGATTAAGCTCAGACACAACACACTCTGCTTCCAGCTGGGTGTAACAAAGGTTCTTGCTTTTTCTAATAATCTAAACTCCAATGCCTGTATAGGAAATTCATTGTGTGAATCCTTGTGATTCAGTCATCTGTCAAGGGTGTGCTTGATGTGTGTTTTGTAGCTCCAAGGCAAGCACACAGAACCAGCTTATATATTGGGAATATGCCTTGAGAAATAAAAACGTTCATGCCCTGGTATACGAGATCAGACCCTTTCCTTTTAACTCATTAATCTACAGAGGAAAGGCATATACTGACAATAATTGGTCAAAGTTCCTCTCTATACTGCAAATAATCATAATACTTGATATGGTGCATCAAGTTCAGCCATTAACGGTCAAGAGCCAGGCTGGCCAAACGCCACCCTCTAGCTAATACAACACACCTCCCATAAGCCACAGACAGCAGTAATTATTGTTGAAGGAGGCTGCAAATGGATAGCCTTGCACGATGGTAAAGTGGCGTGATTAGTGCAGAATAGTCATTAACTGAATCCAGCTGGTGTCTAGGTGGCCAAAAAAAGCACCGCCAAAGGGTTGTGATTAAAGAGGAAACTTGGTAATGCTAGATGTTTTGTGTTTTGCTTTAACAGCGCACCTCAAATGTGTTGAGCACATGTTGGCAGACATCAATAAGTTCGTTGAGTCCTCTTCTAAATGGCTCCACTGCTGAAACTCCACCTGCAATGCGGGGTAGAAAAGGACAGCAAAAGAAATCAGAGATACAGAAAAATGAACTTGCAAACCCCTAAATCATATGCCATGTGGAATAGAAATTTTATTTAGGCTGATTGCTTTGACTTATTCCGGTCTCAAAGTACTGAACATGTACACTGATCAGCCACAACATTGAAACCACTAACAGGTGAATAAAATGTAATGTTTCGTTACAATGGCACTTGTCATTGGGATATGAGGTGGGATATATTAGGCTTCAAGGGAACAGTCAGTTCTAGAATTTAATGTGTTGGAAGCAGGAAAAATGGACAAGGGAGAAGATCCAAGTGAGTTTGACAAAGGAAAAAGGTTGCCAGGTCTGATGAATCAGGTTTTCTTTTATTAGGTGGATGGCTAGCTGTGTGCCATCACCTGGGGAAGATGTGGCAGCAAGATGCACTATAGGAAGAAGGGAGATCGGTGGAGGCAGTGTTATGTTTTAGGCAATGTTTTGCTGGGAAACTTTGGGTCTTGGCATTCATATGGATGTTACTTTGACATGTACCATCTACCTAAAGAATGTTGCAGATCATGTACACCCCTTCATGGCAACGGTGTTCCTCTTTCAGTAGAATAATGCACCCTGCCATGCTGCAAAAAATGTTCAAGAATGCTTTGAGGAACATGACAAAGAGTTCAAGGTGTTGCCTTGGCCTCCAATTTCCCCAGATCTCAACCCAATTAAAAATCTGTGAGATGTGCTGGAACAACAAATCCAATCTCTCAACTTGCAGGATTTAAGGGATCTTCTGCTAATGTGACGGTGCAAAATCCCACAGAACACATTCAGTCTTGTGGAGCACACGCCTCAACGTATCTGAGCTGTTCTGGCAGCACGAGGGTGATCTAAACGATATTAGCCAGATGGTTTTAATGTTGTGACTGATCAGTGTATAATTCATCGGCTTGCGCAGAAAATTGGCACGTACAGATCAAGGAAAAATCACGAAATAGATTCTGCTAAAGAAAACATTCTTACTTCGTGTCTGGATGCGGAAATTGATTTTGCTTTCTGATGGGTGAGTAATGCTGTACCCGCAGAAATCAACTTCAGGACTAAAAACAAAGAGGACAAATACATGTAAATAATCTCAATTAAATATTAGAAATGAAAATAAACGAGTATACACAAAAAATATGAAAACATCTGTTAAGAATACAACTGTTCACAAGGGAACTAAACTATTTATATTATCAGCTTCCATAATAGACACTTCTAGCATCACTAATTAAAGAAACATTATAACGTTAGAAATACAAATACGTACTTCTAACAGTAGTGTGTCTCCCTCTGCAGAAATTTAGAAGAAGAAGAAAAAAAAGTTTAATTTGCCTCTTATCTATAAGTGTCTTGGACTCGCCATTTTAATGCTTCTCGATAGAGGGTCTTTACGGAGTTCGGCGGTGTAAATACGCCATATGTGAAGCCTACATTATTTTTTTTTTCTTCAAGAGGCACAATGTTTCTCAGGAACTGCAATGTTTATAACTCTCAGCCTACAGAGACAGCATCTAGGAACCAAGACCACATCATGCTGCAATGGTTTTGGTGCTTAGAGTATCCCTTTAAGCTATTTGTGTTAGCATTGGTGCATCTTAATTTTCCTGACTATCATTATCGCATAAAAAAAAATAAATGCTGCAGCTATAAGCCGTCCTTCACTATGTGATGTTCTAGTAAAAAGCCGTGCTTTCTGCAGGCTGTAAGCTGCATTAATTCTTGTATGGGTTCTACTAGAGATTGTACCGCAGCTGCATATATGTGACAGAGATAGCTTTATTTATGAAGAAATAACTTCATATCATTGACACATACATGCAGGGTTTTTCAATAAAGTGAGAATTCAAAGGGACTTTCAAATTTAAGGCCAAAGTAGCCGAAATGGAAGAATAGCTGGCTGAAATTTTCCAGCTTGGCTATTTCTACCTTAAATCTGAAATTTACTTTAAGTTCACTCTGAACTCTCACTTTAGTGAACAACCCTGATAGTTCCGTCATTAAGCTAGCTACTCCCCATTGAGACCTTTGAGCGATTTTATAATTAGTGAAAGTGATATTAATTTGCCTTACTTCTTCATGATCATATAGCGGAGCGCATTCCCAAGGGTGTGATCTTCCTCGTGTAACACAAATGTGATACAGGACTCATCCGTCCCATTGACTTGGACCTAATTAGATAAGAATGGATAAAAAAAGAAAATTTAACGAGGGCAAAAACCATCTATTTGATCAAACATTGTAATATAATTTTCACAATGCTTTCCTACCTGGCAAAATATTTAAAATCCAGTTGTCTAACATTTTCTGGGACTAGGAGTTTGTGAAATGAATGTTTTGTGAAATGAATGTAAAAAGAATGAGCTGGTGAGGTATCTATTTGGAGTGGTTAAGTGCAAAGTGCGAAGAGGGCGAGACAAGATTTCAAATAAATCCAGGATTAATTTGATTACAATCATATTAAAAAAAAATATATATATATTGCAACATCTATTAGTTACAATATTGTTAAGCAAGAACAAAAAAATTAAAAAAAATACAACTAAATACAATTATTTTGTTTTGCTTTCACTCCATCTAGTGGTTACTAAGAGAACGACAAGCAGTCTCGACGCAAATTCTAATACAATTACCATGCTTGAACATTGGCCAGGTGAATCATGAAGGCAGTGTTCAAATGTTAAGGTACTATAGCAAGGTCTAAAAAATACTCGTCACAGTAAAGTCTTTTGCTTTTAAGTTATGCAGTGTGCTTAATGCAGTGTTGTATTTCTGTTTGGAGATAGTGAGTAGGAATGTATCAGTATATGTCTGTTGTGAATCCTGGGGAGTATTTGTGCAGGATGTATTTGTGAAGGGTTTGTGTGTATACATAAGGATGTATTTCCATGCAGAGCTAATGTTACTAGTATGTTACTCTGGTACTAGGTACCCCTACTTTAAATCACTCTATATGTCATATTCCTAATCCCCTCTCTATATCACTTCCTTAACCCATCCCTGTGTACACCTGCTAAGGGAGAGAAATGGAGTGTAGATTTAGAATTATGATGTTGGTTTCATAGTAATCATTTCCAAGCATATGAGGAGAATTTTAAAAAAGTTTTCAAAAACAGTTTTCACGGGTCCCAAAGGAGCACCAAGGAAAGTGCTGAAAAGAGAACTTAAAGGGGACCTTAAATACCCTGAAAAACAAACATTCACGAGTATGTTTTCCTGGCACTATAGTGGTCCTTTAATATTTTACCGCCCCGCCCCCCCCCCTTTTTTTTTACTTTCTCCCTGCTGTCTGGTCATTGCACTGTACAATATCTATGATCAGTAAGATCAGAGAGTTATTTCTGAGAACAAGCCGTCCTGTTGGGGGCATATAAAATAAATAAAACCCTTCCAGTGCCGATCACAGCTGCCCAGCACCGATCAAAGTGTAATCGACAGAGAAACAGGCTCTATTCAGCCAGTGGGTGGCAGTAACAGACCCCTATCTACTGTTTAAAACAGGCTTGCCCAAACTCCGGCCCTCCAGATGTTGCTGAACTACAACTCCCATGATTCTATGAATAAAATAGATAGGCTGAGAATCATGGGAGTTGTAGTTCAGCAACATCTGGAGAGCCGGAGTTTGGGGAAGCCTGGTTTAAAGGAACAAACATGTATTCCTGATCCTATAGTGCTAAACCCACCATTAAGGTGGCTTCCCCCCCCCATCCCCCTTAAAAGCATGAAAAACTCACTTTATTTCCAGCACCATGCGGGTCCACCAGCACTGGCCTCGCCCCATTGGTGACATCAGAGTTGCCGATTTTTATCCGATCCAATGCTTTCCCACAGGGAAAGCATTGGATTGGCTAAAATCATCAAGGGGCGGGGCCAAATCTAATTTTGGTAAATCAGCATCACATAATAAAGATGCGTTGAATCTCTTTGAGGAGAATTCAGCGTCCCCATGCACAGCGTGGAGACGTTAAACGGCAGTGCTGCCTACTGTGGAGTGGCCACTTGGAGGTGTCCCTAGGGGCAATGTAAACACTGCCTTTTCTCTGAATATAGATTTGTGCATATAATGATTATACTCACCAGACCAACTACATTAAGCTGTAGTTGTTCTGGTGACTATAGTGTCCCTTTAACATCTTCAACAAGGCACTCAGAACGCCCCTCTTTGTCAAATGAAAATTCATCACCTCCAAACTTCATTACCCCTGCAATTCCTCAATTACCTGGCATCCCAATCAGAAAAAAAGGTTTGTAAACCAGTAAATTATTTTAAGTTTATGTCACACAACATATTTGAGCTAATGGTTGTGCAAACCATCCAGTATATCTCTGCAAATTCTGATTCACACCACAACAGAAACCGTATTGATGTCTCAGAGATGAGAAAATATTGGGCACTGAAAAAAACATCAGAAGGCCCTCCTGGCACAAGCACCCCATTCTGGCTACCCCTCTTTTTCTTGGGATTATGAAGTGGAATCAATATGAGTGCATGCTGTGATTCCTCCAGTTACAACCATGTCCAGTGACTCCCTAGGAATGATCCACTATGACAAACTATATAAAGTTTGGCTTCTTATCATACACCTGTCTGATAATTTTTCCAAACATTACATCCTAGAACAAAACATGTGCATGAATGAATCCCTGATATAGTTTAACGTAAACCCCTTAAGGACGAGTGACGGACGAGGTCCGTCACAGAGGGGAGACCCTTAACGACGAGTGACGGACCTCGTCCGTCACGCGGTAAAATTAACCCCCGGATCGCCGCTATCGTGGCGATCGCGGGGTTAATGGTGCTCCGGTCTGCCTCTGTATTAGAGGCATACCGGGAGCACCCGGTCAGGCTGCCCAGCACATGTGCTTGCTCTGACCGCAAATCAGAGCGAGCACATGTGCTCTGTACAGGGAGTGCAGAATTATTAGGCAAATTAGTATTTTGACCACATCATCCTCTTTATGCATGTTGTCTTACTCCAAGCTGTATAGGCTCGAAAGCCTACTACCAATTAAGCATATTAGGTGATGTGCATCTCTGTAATGAGAAGGGGTGTGGTCTAATGACATCAACACCCTATATCAGGTGTGCATAATTATTAGGCAACTTCCTTTCCTTTGGCAAAATGGGTCAAAAGAAGGACTTGACAGGCTCAGAAAAGTCAAAAATAGTGAGATATCTTGCAGAGGGATGCAGCACTCTTAAAATTGCAAAGCTTCTGAAGCGTGATCATCGAACAATCAAGCGTTTCATTCAAAATAGTCAACAGGGTCGCAAGAAGCGTGTGGAAAAACCAAGGCGCAAAATAACTGCCCATGAACTGAGAAAAGTCAAGCGTGCAGCTGCCACGATGCCACTTGCCACCAGTTTGGCCATATTTCAGAGCTGCAACATCACTGGAGTGCCCAAAAGCACAAGGTGTGCAATACTCAGAAACATGGCCAAGGTAAGAAAGGCTGAAAGACGACCACCACTGAACAAGACACACAAGCTGAAACGTCAAGACTGGGCCAAGAAATATCTCAAGACTGATTTTTCTAAGGTTTTATGGACTGATGAAATGAGAGTGAGTCTTGATGGGCCAGATGGATGGGCCCGTGGCTGGATTGGTAAAGGGCAGAGAGCTCCAGTCCGACTCAGGCGCCAGCAAGGTGGAGGTGGAGTACTGGTTTGGGCTGGTATCATCAAAGATGAGCTTGTGGGGCCTTTTCGGGTTGAGGATGGAGTCAAGCTCAACTCCCAGTCCTACTGCCAGTTCCTGGAAGACACCTTCTTCAACAGTGGTACAGGAAGAAGTCTGCATCCTTCAGGAAAAACATGATTTTCATGCAGGACAATGCTCCATCACACGCGTCCAAGTACTCCACAGCGTGGCTGGCAAGAAAGGGTATAAAAGAAGGAAATCTAATGACATGGCCTCCTTGTTCACCTGATCTGAACCCCATTGAGAACCTGTGGTCCATCATCAAATGTGAGATTTTACAAGGAGGGAAAACAGTACACCTCTCTGAACAGTGTCTGGGAGGCTGTGGTTGCTGCTGCACGCAATGTTGATGGTGAACAGATCAAACACTGACAGAATCCATGGATGTCCTTGCAAAGAAAGGTGGCTATATTGGTCACTGATTTGTTTTTGTTTTGTTTTTGAATGTCAGAAATGTATATTTGTGAATGTTGAGATGTTATATTGGTTTCACTGGTAACAATAAATAATTGAAATGGGTATATATTTGTTTTTGTTAAGTTGCCTGATAATTATGCACAGTAATAGTCACCTGCACACACAGATATCCCCTAACATAGCTATAACTAAAAACAAACTAAAAACTACTTCCAAAAATATTCAGCTTTGATATTAATGAGTTTTTTGGGTTCATTGAGAACATGGTTGTTGTTCAATAATAAAATTAATCCTCAAAAATACAACTTGCCTAATAATTCTGCACTCCCTGTATACTTACCTACCGGCTCCCTGCACTTCCGGGTTCTGTGTGAAGTGCAGGGAGCCGGATCAGTGCTGATCCTGCCCCCTGCTGGAAAAAAAAATAAAGTTTATTTAAAGTCCCCCCCCCCTTTACCCATTTTAATAAAAAATTAACCCCTTCCCTGCCAATTGATCACTGACTACAGTTATCAATTGGCAGGGATTACATTTTACTATGATCTGATTTTTTTATTTTTTTAACCCCTGAGGGTTAATTCTTTTTTTTTTAACCCTCAGGGGTTAAATTTATTTAATTAATTAAAATATTTTAAAATTATATATTTAGCTAGCTGGGGTGGGTGGAAGTTAGTGGGGAATTGGGGGATTTGGCGTTAGGCTAACTAGGGGTTAACGTTAAAAGTTTTAAAATAAACTTTAAAAAGTTAAAAATTAAGCTTAAAAAAATGTTTTAATAACGTTTAAGTAAAAAAAAAAAAAGAAAAAAAACCCTTCACCTAGTCCAAATAAAAATTAACCCCTTCCCTGCCAGTCGATCACTGACTACAGCGATCAAATAGAGATCACAGTATTATACTGTGATCTAATTTTTTTTTAACCCCTGAGGATTAACTTTTTATTTATTTTTTAACCCTCAGGGGTTCAATTTATTTAATTAATTAATTTAAATATTTTATAACTATGTATTTTGCTAGCTGGGGTGGGTGGGAGTTATGGGAAAATGGGGAATTTACTGTTAGTGCTGCGTACTGCTAGTTAGGGGTTAACGGTAAAAAAAAAAAAGCTTAGAAAAATGTTATATCTGTAAAAAAGTTTTAAGAAAGTTTAGGAAAGTTTAAAAAAATTAATACGCAAAACAAAAGTTTAAAAACTAGTTTTTAAAAGTAAAAAAGTTATAAAAAGTTAAAAAATACATTTTAAAAACGCTCATTACCACTACACCTGGAACAAACTAGAGAAAAAAAAATTATCCCACGCCAAGGTTCAAAATATGCCTTTTGAATTACCCCAGGGTGTATTCTTTAATAAATAGTATGTGTTTGTGGGGAAGTTTCAATAACCAACCGTCTAAACTACTCCAAATTGGAACACGGACACAGCGTAAAACTTCAAAGTTAGAAAAAAACTGAATGGCTGCGTCTCAAATGCGCCCCTTCAACATCCACATATACCTGGCAAAGGTACATACAGGGGTATTGCTGTACTCAGCTGACATAGCTGAGCAACATATGAAGTATTATACAGTCATAGCACACATAAGGTTTGCAAAATATGCTGCGCAAACTCACTTTGTATGTCAAAAAGGCAGAAAAAATGCTTATTACCACTACACTTGGTACAAGCTAGCGGAAAAATGATCCCACGCTAAGGTTCAAAATATGCCTTTTGAAATACCCTGGGATGTCTTCTTTAAGAAATGGTATGGCTTTATGGGGTATTTGGATTATATAGCCTGGTAAAATACTCTAAAATGGGACATAGGCACAGCATAAAAATTCAAAGTTTGAAAAAAACTGGAATGGCTGTGTCCCAAATGTGCCCCTCCGATGTCCACACATACCTGGCAAAGGTACATACGGGGGTATTGCTGTACTCAGCCGACATAGCTGAGCAACATATGAAGTATTATACAGTCGTAGTAATCCAGGAAAGGGATTTAGGGGTGATTATTTCTGATGACTTAAAGGTAGGCAGACAATGTAATAGAGCAGCAGGAAATGCTAGCAGAATGCTTGGTTGTATAGGGAGAGGTATTAGCAGTAGAAAGAGGGAAGTGCTCATGCCATTGTACAGAACACTGGTGAGACCTCACTTGGAGTATTGTACACAGTACTGGAGACCGTATCTTCAGAAGGATATTGATACCTTAGAGAGGGTTCAGAGAAGGGCTACTAAACTGGTTCATGGATTGCGGGATAAAACTTACCAGGAAAGGTTAAAGGATCTTAACATGTATAGCTTGGAGGAAAGACGAGACAGAGGGGATATGATAGAAACATTTAAATACATAAAGGGAATCAACACAGTAAAGGAGGAGACTATATTTAAAAGAAGAAAAACTACCACAACAAGAGGACATAGTCTTAAATTAGAGGGACAAAGGTTTAAAAATAATATCAGGAAGTATTACTTTACTGAGAGGGTAGTGGATGCATTGGAATAGCCTTCCAGCTGAAGTGGTAGAGGTTAACACAGTAAAGGAGTTTAAGCATGCGTGGGATAGGCATAAGGCTATCCTAACTATAAGATAAGGCTAGGGACTAATGAAAGTATTTAGAAAATTGGGCAGACTAGATGGGCCGAATGGTTCTTATCTGCCGTCACATTCTATGTTTCTATGTTTCTATAAGGTTTGCAAACTATACTGTGCAAACTCACTTTGTATGTCAAAAAGTCCAAAAAAACGCTTATTACCACTACATCTGGTACAAGCTAGCAGAAAAATGATCCCACGTTAAGGTTCAAAATATACCTTTTGAAACACCCTGGGGTGTCTACTTTAAGAAATGGTAGGCCTTTGTGGGGTAGTTTGAATTTAAAACCTGCGAAGATGCTTGGAAATTGCACATAGGCCCAGCGTCAAAATTCAAAGTTTGGTAAAAACGGATATGGCTTGGTCTCCTATATGGCACTGTAGCTTCACGAAATAGTGCCAAAGACATTCATTGGGGGTGTCTTTTTACTGAGAAGACTTAGCTGAGCATAATTTGGGAGGTTTGAACTTAGTGGCACATATGGAATATACAAAACGCCCAGCAAAAATGCAATCCGTATGTAAAAAATGCACAAAATAATTATTTACCACATACTTTGGCATATATTGGTGAAAAAATGGGGGTATGTTAAGGCACAATATGCACCTTATAAGATACCCTGGAGTGTCTCCTTTTACAAATGGTAGGCCTTTGTGGGGTTTTTTTGAACAGTCAAACTGTTATAATACCCCAAATGGAAGCTAAGGCTCATTAAATCCATCTCTCAAAATTCTACTGTGAATACTGAAAAGGACAGGTATCCTGTGTGGCACTGTAACTTCACAAAATAGTGGCAAAGACATACAATGGGCGTGTCGTTTTACTCAGCAGATGTAACTGAACACAAAATAAAACTTTGTACAGGAATAGCTCTGCATGAAGGTGCTGAATGATCCCTATAGAGATGCAATGATTCAATGCATCTCTAAGAGGAGATGCTGATTGGTGCAGCGTTTTGCAGCCAATTCTTTGGAAAAACATTGGATTGGCTGAGATCATCAAGCTTGATAATCTCAGCCATAGAGGTAGGGCCAGTCGAGGGGAGACCAGCATGGCGTGGGAAAAAAAGGTGAGTAACAACACCCTTATGAACGGAAGGGGTCTGGTAACCTAAACACACACACATACCATGACAGACAGATACACATATATTATGACCAACACACACACGCATACCATGACATACACACATAACATGACAGACACACACACACACTGACAAGACATACACTCACATTATTGCGTGTATTGATACCTGCAGGGTCCCGTCATGCTGGGGGATCGTGGAGGCTGGCTGCGTGTATTGTTGACGAGCTGCAAGGGAGCTGTGATGTCCCTACTCTGCTCCCTTGCGCGTCGCTTTGTGAGGCCGGAATATGACATGATTTTCCGGCCCCTGGTCTCACTAAGAGGCAAACGAGGGAGCAGAAGAGGGAAATCACAGCTCCCTCGCCGCCCACCTACTATTCCCCAGCCAGCCTCCTGCCCGCCTCCACAATTCCCCAGCGGGCCTCCTGCCAGCCTCCACAATTCCCCAGCGGGCCTCCTGCCAGCCTCCACAATTCCCCAGCCGTCCTCCTGCCCACCTCAGAGGTAATAGCTCACATTTCCCAGACTCAAAGGCAAAATTCCTAGGCGCCATGGGATTTGTCAAGCCCTGCGATATGGGATTTAATTTTCTAAATTATGTGAATGTCCTACTGGTTACACCTGGGAATTTGTATTTATCAAGGGAAAGATAACCATCTTAACCAACCAGGACGCCCTGATTCAGTTGTCACAAATGTCGAGATAGTGAGGGATCTTCTCCTTCCCTTGACGAATAAAGGCTTCCATCTATGGTTCAACAACAGATAATACACCAGCCTTATTTAAAAATATATTTTGTTTTGAAACCCTAGCATGTGGCACAGTGCGCAAGAAAGGCAGAGGTTTCTGCCAGAAGATGACAAGCGGCAAAAAACATAGAAGCTCAACATCAGCATTGTGTTAGGATGGCTCTTCGTTACACAGATAAAGATGTAAACATGCTGTCCGCAATGCACAATGAAAGTACAATGCCAGTGTGTCAAGAGAAGAAATTAACAGATAGAAAAGTCAAAGTACATTGTAAAGTACAGGCAAATATATGGGTGGCATGGATGTTGCCGATCAATGCCTACAGTCTTTTCTGGTTAAAGGGATATACATTACTTGACAGTTACTTATTTTCACCAGCAAGAAAAACATATACAAAAGTAAAATAAAGCAAGAAACACTGAAAAGTATGTAAAAAACATTTATAAACTTAGTTGGTTTGCACTGTTAGACATGCCTCTCAGTTAGGCGAGTTACTTCAAGGGACACTTATGGCACCCAAACCACTTGAAGTGGTCTGGATACAAATGACCATACCCTCCTTTGTCCTGCAATGTAAATCATTGCAGTTTTAGAGAAACTACAAGGATTTCATTGCAGGACTAAGACTGCATCTAGTCAGTGGCTGTCAATTAGCCACTAGAGGCACTTTTTGCTTGCTAAGCGACTTTTGGTCGCCTAACTGACGCTGGATATCCTCACCTCCGGCATCAGAAAAATGCTAATAGGAAAGCATTGAAGCAACGTCTGAGCAGGCAGGGAGCCAGTGTTTTATAGTAATAAAAAAAAGATAAGAATGATAGAAATAGTAAAGATGCAGTGTTTGCGTGAAAAACACAGATAAATATGAACAAATAAAATGGAGTGGGGGGGAGAGAGAGAGAGAGAGAGAGAGAGAGATATTGCAGTGAAAATCAGTATCATGATAATGACAGTAAAAAAGAAATTGCCTGCTAACCCTGGGGGCGGATCGGGATATTAATTTCTTCTTAGATTTCATTCATATTAAAATGATATCTATATATATATATATATATATATATATATATATATATATATATATATATATATATATATATATATATATATATATATAGTTAACACAATGTTAAACAAAAATCTGCACACCAGTCAAGCCATAAGACTTGCTTTTCCCACAGAAAATACAAAAAGCAAATCTTATGGTTTGACTGGTGTGCAGATTTTTGTTTAACATTGTATTAAAGGACCACTCTATTTTGTGGTCTGGGTGCCTGGTCCAGCTAGGGTTAACCCATTTTTTCATAAACAGCGGTTTCAGAGAAACTGCTATGTTTATGAATGGGTTAAGCCTTCCCCCATTCCCTCTAGTGGCTGTCTCATTGACAGCCGCTAGAGGCGCTTGCGTGCTTCTCACTGTGATTTTCACAGTGAGAGCACGCCAGCGTCCATAGGAAAGCATTATGAATGCTTTCCTATGTGACCAGCTGAATGCGCGCGCAGCTCTTGCCGTGCCTGCGCATTCAGCCGACGGGGAGGAGAGCTCCCCACCCAGCGCTGGAAAAAGGTAAGTTTTAACCCCTTTCCCCCTTCCAGAGCCGGGCGGGAGGGGGCACCCTCAGGGCACTATAGTGCCAGGAAAACGAGTATGTTTTCCTGGCACTATAGTGGTCCTTTAACTATCCACAGTCTTCAGGTTGAAGGGGTTTTCAATCACAATTTGTCCCCCACCATAACTGCTTTGGTTATATAATACACACACCAAGCTCGCATAGGAGAGCATGTAAGAAAAGAGCCTGGCACATGGTCAGAACATACCAAGTTCTTATCTAGTCATACAGCTAGAAACCCTCTGTATATTTTCCTATGTAAGATATATAATCAAAAAAAATATCTGTCCCCAGTCACCCTACCATCTCCAATGCATGCTTAGTCTCTCCTACAGCTGCCATGCTGCTTCCAGCTTGTGTCGCACAGAGCTCACAGACACTGTGTCGCGCGTGTGACGTAAGAAGAGTGTGGGGTTCAGGGAAATGTAGTTCTTTCGCAGTTTGTTTACATGTGGTGAAAAAATAAAAAATAAACTTTTTCCAATAATGGTTCTGAAATGTGTTTTCTATTAAATATGCTGCATGTTATTCAATACTATAGAGCTCACACATGGGGCAATTAACTTACCCTGGAATGGGGTAGAATAGATAAGGGAATTGTATATTTTAGGCAGATTTGAGAACCCCTCTAACACAGCTATTTTTCCTGCACAGCTATTTTGGTCTAAATGTTACAAATCCTTGTCCTTTCCACATAATTCTTTGAACAGTAGAGAATACATGTAAAGTGTAAGGTTTCCTGTAGCATTTTCCCTATATAGAAAGGTAACAGGGTTGATTCACTAAACATTGAATTCCAATAAACTATATCCAAATTTCAAAGTTTAAGCAGCAAAAAAAAAAAAAAGGAGGTTTAGTCAACGCATGTCAATTACAGCCTAAATTGTGCTATTTATTTTACTACAATATGATGTAGTGGTTATGGTGCTTTTAGTCTTGCATCACTGGGACACTCTTGCAGTAAGGGATCTTAGTTGAGGATTATAGGAATTGTAGCACCCCTGCAGCGAAACGTCTAAGCTGAGGGTGATAGTTGTTGTAAGTAATACCCACTTAGTAAACTGTGTTAACTGAGGGTAATAGGAGTTGCAGCACCCCTTGCAGTAAAGTGTATTAGCTGAGGGTGATAGGAGTTATAACAGCCCTTCAGTAAAGTGTTAAAGTTGAGGGTGATAAGAGTTGTAGCAGTCCTGCAGAAAAGTGTTATAGTTGAGGGTGATAGGAGTTGTAGCATCCCTGCAGTAAAGTGGTATAGCTGAGGGTTATAGGAGTTGTAGCACCCCTTATGTAAAGTGTTATGGCTGAGGGTGATAGTAGTTGTAGCACCCCCTGCAGTGAAATGTTATAATTGAGGGTGATAGAAGTTGTAGCACCCCTGCAGTAAAGTGTTATAGTTGAGGGTGATGTGCGTTGTAGCACTCCTGCAGTAAAGTGTTGTAGTTGAGGGTGATAGGAGTTGTAGCACTCTTGCAGTAAAGTGTTATAGTTGAGAGTGATAGGAGTTGCAGCACTCCTGCAGTAAAATGTTTTAGTTGCGGGTAATGGGAGTTGTAGCACCCCTTCCGTAAAGTGTTGTAGTTGAGAGCGATAGGAGTTGTAGCACTCTTGCAGTAAAGTGTTATAGTTGAGGGTGATAGGAGTTGTAGCACCCCTGTAGTAACGTGTTGTAGCTGAGGGTGATAGGAGTTGTAGCACCCTTTCAGTAAAGTGTTGTAGTTCAGGGTGATAGGAGTTGTAGCACTCATGCAGTAAAGTGTTGTAGTTGAGGGTGATAGGAGTTGTAGCACTCATGCAGTAAAGTGTTGTAGTTGAGGGTGATAGGAGTTGTAGCACCCTTTCAGTAAAGTGTTGTAGTTCAGGGTGATAGGAGTTGTAGCACTCATGCAGTAAAGTGTTGTAGCTGAGGGTGATGGGAGTTGTAGCACCCCTGTAGTAAAGTGTTGTAGCTGAGGGTGATGGGAGTTGTAGCACCCCTGTAGTAAAGTGTTGTAGCTGAGGGTGATGGGAGTTGTAGCACCCTTTCAGTAAAGTGTTGTAGTTCAGGGTGATAGGAGTTGTAGCACCCTTTCAGTAAAGTGTTGTAGTTGACGGTGATAGGAGTTGTAGCACCCCTGTAGTAAAGTGTTGTAACTGAGGGTGATGGGAGTTGTAGCACCCTTTCAGTCAAGTGTTGTCGTTCAGGGTGATAGGAGTTGTAGCTCCTCCTACAATAAAATGCTTTAGCCAGGTGTGAGGCAATGTGTAGTCTTTCCGCAGTAAAGTGTTAAAGTTGAGAGTTGTAGCAGAACACCCACAACATTTCCCCACCTGTTGCTCACTCTCAAAGCAGATCCCCAGCTTATGTAGAACTACAACACCCACAATGCCTTGCTGCCTTCAATCACAGGAGCTGTAGTTCTACATCGGTTGGTATGGGAGGAGGTTACTAGCTATTATCCACCACTGCCCTGCCTACAGGATCTGTTCTGACACTAGACTGCCCCTGGCTACCGTGAGCCTTCAATCACATGTTTCCATACTACAACTCCCGTGATGCAACGCGCTGACAAAGGGTCAACTGCGGAAGTCAGCGTGATCAGTGTTAGAGAAGGGAGGGCCCAGCAGAGATTCCCTGGGATGTGATAAAGCCTTTTACCTGGATTATTACTGTACAGCCTGAGCCAGCTCCAGGGGAGGTGAGAGGAGCCGGCCGGTATCAGGAGGGGACCCTGGGGTCTGGGCTGGGCAGGGCAGAGCTCGGGTGGGCTGGGCTGGGCAGGGGGTGTTGTTGAATATAAGTACAGAGGGTATAAAGTGGGGCTTAGCTAACTGATCCTATATAGGGCTTCAGCCAAGCAAAATGAGGTAGTTTTGAAAATCCAGGAACGGTGAGATCAGCCATGCATTACCTAGGAGATCCATTGTATACACTGTATGTCCAACCTGCTGTGTTTGGTTAGTGGGTAAATGGTTGTTGGACATCTCACCAGACTGGCCAAAATGTGCATATTCACCTTACATGGCAGGGGGGTAGTGCACAGTAATGTGTGTGTGGGCATAGTGTATTACACAGTAAGGTGTGTGTGTGTGTGTGTGTGTGTGTGTGGGCATAGTGTATTACACAGTAAGGTGTGTGTGTGGGCATATTGTATTACACAGTAAGGTGTGTGTGTGGGCATGGTGTATTACACAGTAAGGTGTGTGTGTGTGTGTGGGCATGGTGTATTACACAGTAAGGTGTGTGTGTGGGCATGGTGTATTACACCGTAAGGTGTGTGTGTGTGGGCATGGTGTATTACACCGTAAGGTGTGTGTGTGGGCATGGTGTATTACACAGTAAGGTGTGTGTGTGTGTGTGTGGGCATGGTGTATTACACAGTAAGGTGTGTGTGTGTGTGTGTGTGTGTGGGCATGGTGTATTACACAGTAAGGTGTGTGTGTGTGTGTGTGTGTGGGCATGGTGTATTACACAGTAAGGTGTGTGTGTGTTGGCATGGTGTATTGCACAGTAAGTTGTATGTGTGGGTATGGTGTATTGCACAGTAAGGTGTGTGTGTGGGTGTAGCAGAGGTGGTCAAAGAGCTACATCACACATTGTTGCAGAGCTACAATACCCTTAATGCTTGGCATCGTGGGAGTTAAGCAACTTTTTGACCACCTCCTGTGTATTTGTAATGGATTTAGACCATTGTCTTGCAGACTTGGGTTGTACCAGGAGGTTGATTAGAACCGTAATGTAAATAGAAACAGAGAAGCAGTATTTACTGTACAATGGTAGGAGCATGCTTTGGCTTCAGTTAAAGATTACTAGATTATAGTGTAAAGGTTAGATTCAAAGGGAACATCTCACAAAAAGTGTATGTGTACCAGAGCTTTTGGCTACCTTCATTGCTACTATGTTACTATTTACTTCCTTATAGGTCCACCAGTTTAATTGATCCATTAATTTTAATTGTCTATAATCCCCATTTAGATAGTTTCAATCTGTTAGTTCTTTATATGAGGTTTACACTGCTGCACTTCTATTTTATATATATATTTAGTATTTGTTTATTTTGATGTATGTTTTGGATCATTATCCTGATGGAAAATTCAACTACGGCCCATTTATTAGCTTTCTGGCAGAGGCAATTCATGATGCCATGTATCCTAACAAATGTCTGGGTCATTTGGCAGAAAAACAGCCCCAACACATTAAAGAGCCACCATCATATTTAACCGTTGGCACAAGGTACTTGTCCATACGGCTTTCTCTCTGTGTGAGCCAAACTCATCTCTGGTGTTTATTGCCAAAAAAACTCTATTTTGGTTTCATGTGCCCATAGAACCCAACCCTATTTGAAGTTCCTGTAGTGTCTGACAAACTAAAGACGCTTGAGTTTGTTTTTGGATGAGAGTAGAGGCTTTTTATTCTTGAAACCTTTCCAAACAACGGTTGGTGACGTCGGTTTTTGCTGTTCTGGAGATTTTTTGACCCCAAGACGCAACCAATTTCTCCGGCTGTGGTCCACTGAGTGTTTTTGGCCATTTGAACCATCCTCTTCACTGTGCATTGAGACAATATAAGACACACTTCCTCTTTTGGGTTTATTCATAAAATTTCCAGTTGACTGCAACTTAATTATTGCCCTGATGGGGGGAAGTGGCATTTTCAGTGCTCTTGCTATTTTCTTATGGCCACTTCCCATTTTGTGAAGCTCGACAACTTTTTGCCGCATATCACAGCTCTATTCCTTCATCTTACCCCTTGGGGTGAATGACTAAGGCAATTTGGCATATGTATTACCTAATATTTAGACCCCATGTGAAACAGAAGACATGGTTCAACAATATCCTGTTCCTAGTCGCCAAGGTGAACTAAAAGATGTAAAATATCAATTGGATATTTCTCATATGAATTCATAGGGGTGTCAGTAAGTGTGCCACACATATTTAACACATTGTGGACCATGAGGTCCGTGTTTTTGTGTTTTGTTTTTTTGATTGAAAGTTTAAGCAATATAGAACATTTTTCACAACCTTCTTTACTCATTTACCAAGGGTGTCAGTATCACTGGAGGGCACTGTAGATGTTTTTGAAAATACATATTGGAAAGTGAAAGTGAAAGCTGCTTTGCTTTTAAAATGCAGACACTCAGTCATTGGAATGAGACAGACTGACAGTAATTTGAATTTATTTGGTAAGGTGCCAGGTTATTTTATTTATTTTTTTCCTTTTCCAATTTACAGTTTTAGATTGAAAGCTCATTTGGGCACCTACAGTTGCATGTCTGCACCTACCGTTGTTTGTCAAATGTGTTTTTGTTAGATTTGTTTTACCTGTTGTAAGGTGCTGTGGAATATGTTGGTGATTATGTAATTATTATAAATGTAAATATTCAAACTGTTTGCCAGTGGTTTGACTACTTACCTGGGCTACGTCAGGCGCACTCTGTACCTCTCTGCAGCACTCAGTATAAGTAAAGGGACACTAAGACATCAAAACATCATTAGCTTAATGAAGCAACTTGGATGTCTAGATCATGCCCCTACGGTCTCAATGCTTAATTATCTACCATTTAGGTGTTAAATCACTTTTGTTTCTGTTTACGCAGCCCTAGCCTCACCTCCCCTGGCTGTGACTGACCCAGCCTGCAAAAATGGTTTCATTTTCACTTGCATATCAATTACCTTTAGACATTTGTATCTCTTGCTCTCCAAATTGAATTTTAATCACACATGAGGCTCCTGCAGGCTCTAGAAGGCTATTAACAGAGCAGGAGGCAAGACCTGAAACAGAATGTGCAATAAAGGAAGTGTAAACTTTAGATTTCCCTCTACATGAAGTGTTGAGGAAGGCTGTGCCAGTCACATGCAAAGCTGTGACTAGGGCTGCATAAGCAAATGGATTTAACTCCTAAATGGCAGAGAATGTGTGCCATCCTTGCAGGAGCAATAAGCAAGAGGTTAAGAGCTGGATTGTAGACTAGGGGTAGGTACTCTGAATGTAGTCTTGGAAATCCCCTCTGATCTTGGCTGTTGGGAGACTTTCAAGGTGTATTCATCTGTATGTGGGCCTTCGTAATCTAGTACTTACTGAATATTGTTTTCATTAATTTTATTTATATTCACGATTTATTTCCTTTTTTTGCGAGTGTTTTAGTTAATTTGCTTATTGGTGGGCTCTGTTTTTATTTTATTTTTTTAAGTCTGCATGTTGTAGCCGCATTCTTTGGAGGTGCTGATGAAATCTAGAAAAAAAGCAGAAGTATGCAAGAGAGAGAGAAAAATGCAAACCTGCTGGCAGATTGGGCAATGCTGATTGTGGTATAGAACGATACGCAGGACTGGCATTAAAGGGACACTCTAGGCCTAGTTTATGGATGAGGGAGTTCCTTCACTCTTCTTATAGACTTCATTGTAGCTGCATGTGTGATCCAACCCATATATTGTGCCAAGTCACCCATTTTTATATACTGTTTGGGTATTGGAGGCTCGAAAACAAACTCAAGTGTTTTTTAACTTTATGTAACTTATTCAACTTTAAAAAGGGGGTGACTGATGTATGTAGCTGGACCTGTCTGTACTATTCACAGCTTTACCAGCTTACAGCATTCTAGAGAGTAAATGTTTGCACGTTCATATCGTTTGATTTTTCACAAGAGTATCTTATTTCCAGTAACAGAATATGCTGACTGTGTAAGCTAAAAAGCCTTCACGCTAATAATAATAATCAGCAGCTATGATGCATCTTATGTCATTGGCCTGAGGGTGTGCAAATATTGGTTTGTCCTTGTGAGTTGTGTCTCCTGGCAATGCATCCTAGTTCTCTGTATGATACAGTATTTGTGTTTTTGTGCAAGTTATGCAACTTAACCTCCTCACTAAAGTGTCAATTTAAAGAAGCATTCAAACTAAAGTAGTTCAATCTTCAGATAAGCTACTTTGGTTTGAATTTTACAGTTTCAATTCCCTGCAATTCAGTGTTTAGTGAATAGCCCATTCTTTACTATATGAGGTATTTTCAAGAATTTGCTAGGAAGTTGGGAAAATTAATTTATACTAGAATAATCAAAGAGCTATGTTTCCAGCCCAGGTACACGGTTGTTACATCTTCAATCCCCCTGGTTAATTCCTGGCAATTCAAGGGTTAGTAAATCTACCCGACAGTATTTGTTGAGCTGGATCTGAGCGAATGTTTCACAATAACAATCACATTGATAACACAAGCATTCAGATTGCTCACCGATGGCCATAAAAGTTATTTTAAACTACTGCCATGTAATGTCTCCTTTGTTCCACTAAAGAACCAGCGAGCGTCACCAAATTAACAGCATGCCTCCCAACGTACCCGATTTTTGGGTCTTGTCTTGCCCTCCTGACTTTGTTTCCTACTGTCCCTCTTTTGGGAACACCAGGTAACGATCCCCAAAAAGTGTAGTGCGAGCATTGCATTCAGGGTACTAGGACCCTGCAGAGAGCAGTAACACCGTGCTCCCTGCATGTCGTGCACTCAGCAGACTAGCCAGTTGCTTCACTGGCCAGCCCCCTTCGCTCCCCCTCCCAGCCGAGTCTAAAGTGAAAATTGTCAGGAATTGGAAGTAAATACAAAGGGAAATTCATATTTTAACGCCAAACTGGTTGAAATGGAAAATAAATGCTCCAAGTCAGCTATGCTTCCAATTTGACTATTTTGGTCTGAAATTTGAGAATGGTTGGGGATTCAAAGTGAATAACCCTGTAAAAGTGCTTTTTCAAACTTCCAGATAATATTCTGTACTTACAAAGTTAAATATTATTTTTTTTTTTTCTCACTGTACAGGACTTTCAGGTAATTTTATAATAGAATTGGCTATTTTGGCCAAAATTGTAAAACTGAAAAAACCCTCCAACTTGAACAGTTCAGCTATTTTGGCCTTAAATTTGAAGGGCGGTAAAATACCATCTAGTATTTTCTCCCTCTGCATGGTGCAGACACTATCGGGGATGCACTGTCAGTAAAGACCAAATCTGCAGTGATGTTGTAGAAGGGAAGGTAGGGAGTTCACTGCATATTACTGATATGTCTACTTCCTGATTCTTATCATTTTGCCACATTCAGCAGAACAATTGAGACTTTTTTTGTTTATTAGAATGTGTTCTCCCATAAGTTACAGAGACACACAAAGATTTAATAGGCACTTAATTATTTTAATGTTTTTCATTTATTTATTTTAAACACAAACCTTAACTGCCACTCACGGCATGGGTACCTGCAGGACATGTTGAACAGAATTCACGCAGTGTGCATATTTTCAGGGTTATTTACCAAACATTAATTTGAAATGTCAAGAAGAAGGCCATTCTTTGAAGTTTGAGAAATACATTTATTCTGATGTAAATGGCTGTGTTAACTTTTTTTTTTTTTTACTTCTGATCACTGCATTATTTGCACTGCTTTTCCCAAATCACTAGCAGAATGCACTATGCAAAGTAAAAAAAAAAAAATTAAAGAAACCCTCTCTATGCACTTTAACCACTCCAGCACTGTGTGAATTTTGGCAGCGCTGAAAGGGTTATTGGTAATATTGTGTACATACTAAGTACACCGGGATCACACTTACCCACACAAATATTTTGAATGCCTTGGTGACAAAGGTGAACATTTCCTATATGATGTCCCATGCTGCAAAGGTGGGCTTTGGGTGCTGGGGAATCAATAGGTAGTTTTATCCATAGAGTCATTGCAACATAACCTCTTCAGTTCGGAATGTATGGTCCATATCATTCCTTTAACCCCTTAGAGACCAAACTTCTGGAATAAATGGGAATCATGACATGTCACACATGTCATGTGTCATTAAGGGGTTAAAGACCTCTATCAATTATGCTAACTAGTTAAGTGTGCCGGGACTCAAATATCAGAGCCCTAGTTCTGTTCTGGCAGCTTAATATGATGCACCATTCTCCTCTTATCCCCAAAATAATAGACATGCCTTGCAAAATATATGTGCATTTTATTAGCGTGAATAGTGCTACAGTTTGGCAGTATAACGAGTTCAATGGTTTTATTGTTCTTATGAGCACTGTGTAGACAGTGGGTGTTAATTGAACGGGAAGAGTCAGAAGCAAACTAGTCATTTATTGAAGATGCGAGCTAGCTTTTAAACTCTTTCTTTTTTTTTATCTTCTCTAAGCCAACAATTGATATACTGAACTGTGTAATTAGCAGATCTGGTAATTACTAGTCTAACAAACCATATTAAAGTTAAATCACCTCCCCCCTTCAGGCCAATCAGTTGGTATTGTGTCTAGTATTAGGAATGTTTGGGAATTTGCTCTCTGAGAAGGAGAGCAGGATAATCCTGATGGGCTAGTGGTTCAATGCATTCTTTGACTTTAGTGAAAACATTTCAATTAAATGATTGAAGTTAAGAATCTGCTTTTAAAAATGGCACTGGTAGTCCAACTATTGGACACAAATGAGTAGGACCCATAAAGCAACATTACATGCATTTCTGATGTTCTTTGGTGCTGCAACTTTTTCCCCCCGGAAATTCTGCTAACGTCTAATCTTTTTGTGTTGTGTACAGGGGGAGACATGGCTATCCTATTTGCCGTCGTTGCCAGAGGAACCACCATACTTGCCAATCATGCCTGGTGTGGTGGGAATTTTTTGGAGGTAACACAGCAGATCCTGGCAAAGATCCCGTCGGAGAATAACAAGCTTACTTACTCTCATGGCAGGTAAGCTAAGGCATGCATGTATGTTTATATTTTCTTGTGAGTAGATTGCTGTGTAGCGCTGGAAATGAATTTTTCTGAGCTCTGGAAAGTATATAATGTGTGTACCTGAGTTTATTTACATAAGAGTTTGTGTGGGCCTTGGAGTATGGATCTCTGCATGTGTGCGTGCATCTGGCAGTATGGCTCTGTGGCTGCCAGGTGCATTTAGTGACTGAGCTACATGCTCTAAATGTTGTGTAGTGATGAATTAAGTCTGTGCCTCCAAAAGTACTGAAATATTATACTATACATACACCTGGTGTGTCAAATTGCAACACACGCCATTTTGGCAGATTACAGTGCCCGTAATTCCTTCTCGTGCTGTATTAAATATTGTTAAACTTTAGAAAAAAGAACAGTTATAAAGTGGAGTGGCGACACTGCCCACTAAAAGTAGGTGGAACCCACTCCACCAAATTGACCTCCAAAAGTTGAAATACCCCAAAATTAAATTAACAATCAATCGTGATACACCTTTAAAAGGCTGGGGTAGTTTGTCCATAGACTCTAAAAGTGTGTACAGGAGACGTAAGTGTGGACAGAATTTGTATCCTAAACTGGATCGGTATCTAAGTTAATGTCCCTAGAATACACGTGTAATGCCTGGTCACATCTGGGAACTTGGGGGGGGGGAGGGGGGAGGGGGAATACTAAACAGTATATGAAATTTGGACAGAGTTGTACTTTGAAGGTAGAAGCAGATTAAAGTCACTAGTGTTTAGCTATAAGAAGATATAAACAGTACCTATTTCTAGTGCTACCCTGTCTCCAATGGTAAAATGTATACAGTGTAAAACACATACACAGTACTAAAGAGGTTTATCTAAATAGTTTAGCTTAACCCAAGGTGGTGGTGTTGTGTGGTAATATAGACGGGGATAATGAACCAAAAGCCTATATGTGCAGCTTAAGCGGACAGCCCCTCTCAAGATGTGCAAAGAGAGTGTCTGCTAATAGAATCTGAAGCTGGGGTAATTGCTAATCCTGCCATAAATTATTGAGGATAGCTGTATACATTTGTTCTAAGGCAGCATGCTGACAAATCTCCACTTGATCGATCCAGTCCAACAGCGATTATTTAGTCTATATAGTGATCAACCCACTGCTGCTTCAAGGCAGCCTATCTAATCCGTCCCCTCTCAATGTCAACAGTAAGTACAAAGTAGCGGTAAATAGCCGTATTAACCCAGACCGGACCAAATCACCACAGTCACCAAATAATTAAAAACAAAGTAGTTTTATCGACATAAAAATGTTCTAATATACCTAGGGTTCACGCCCTCTAGGACCTCTGTAACCTACTGTGAGACATCAGTGTTGGTTTGCCCTGCACTGTAGCCTCTTCTTTGCTTTATTGTTAAACTTTCTTCTGTCACATTTTAATTTGTGGTTTGTTTTTTTTTCTTCCTCCAACAGTTATTTATTCCATTATATCTGCCAGGACAGGATTATATACCTGTGCATTACAGATGATGTGAGTACCAACACTGTCCTTCCCTCCCCAGCAACCTTAACTTGCAGTTTGCTTTTATGTTCTTTATTTGCTGCTCCTACAAAGTACAGCACCACCTCAACAGATGTCAGAATGTTTGATAAAATATTTTCTGGTACCCAAGAGTTGTTCCCTGTTGCCAAAGCCACCTCAAGGGACAAATTTATATTCAGGTTACCGTACCAAAAAAATCATAGCCTGATGTCTTAATGGGCCTCCCATAAGGATTTTATTTTGGGGCATTGTTTTGAGGGTATTGTGTAGCGGAGAGCTGGTATTTCACAGGTTATCTCCACTAAAGATCCCAGTGAGGCTCAGGAACAAGTAATACAATCCCATAGATCGCTAGTAACAGCAAGCAAGGTAATCCACGAATATCCCAATACCGATCCCAAGGACTGGACGACACACAGCATCAGGAGCAGAACTGAACTTTTAATCCCACAAACTCCTTTTAAAGGTTTCTCCCATGCAAGGGAGGGATTCACATTAATTTGTACAGTAGCCAATAGTGTAATGGTTACCTCCTACACATCTCCTCCCCTCAGTGTGACACATAATCCACTTATATACATACTACAGTTTTACCCGATTTCTGGATGTACCCCAAAACAGTCAGATACAATTTTATAAGGGGTAGCCCTGATCTGGGTGACCAACATATTCAAAAGTCACCCAGATAGGACCAGGGGTTTGGGAGTTAAGTGGAAGAGGCAATTTGACCGACCGCACACGAGGTAGTATCCGAAAAGGGCTCCATGTGTTTTGGCCTTGTGGTCGGTCTCTGTTCGGAAGATAAAACATATAGAATTTCTTGCCATCCAACGTTCCATCGGTATTCGTATGAATACCCTTGTTTGGTAGATTTAGTTCACCGAACGAGGGGCTGGTTGTCCCCTCCGTTCCGGAGTTATGGAGGTCTCAGCGGTGTTCGGGTGATTGGAACTCAAATCGGACACTCAAACACTCGACGACCAAACACCGCTGAGATTTTCTTGCGTAAGATGGCCGCCGCCACGTGGTTCGTATGCCGAACGGCGGCCACCCAGATATGTATACAAAGTACCGATTGCATGGTCAATTAGCTTGCGGTTAGAGAAGTATGAAAGCCTAACGAGGTGCACACTTCTCTCTGGGGTGGTCTGATGGTTCGGTAGTTTTCATTCGTATGGAATACGGACTGAAAGCTACCGAACAATCAGTCGAATGCTACATACAATATATCTATACAGGAGAATAATCACACGAAATACATTTTTAAAGCACACTTTGAGGACAGCCCCATGCCATCCGCTACATATTGTTTCTACTTATTCTCTTTCTCCTGTCAGCATTATCAAAACACCACATGGAGGCTTAATTAGAGGCCTCTGTATGGAACTACACTCACCAGAGAGCCATTGGTGAGTCCTGTTCAGTGTTTGACAACAGGCTGGAATGCGTACAAATTACTACTTAGGCCCTTTGTTTCCAGTAATTACCATCTGATAACATAATCCACAAACAAATTTTCAATTCACACCAAATACTTGAAATTTGCATTAAAAAAAAATATCATCCTTATAGAAAGCATTATCATAAAGATGGCACACAGTAGATTAAGACTTTTCTCTTTTTAGTCTTGGTCCTCTTGGATAAATGCTAATAGTGCCTTTCTTAAAGTGTTTGTTTTTGCACACATTTGACATTTAGTATTATTACTACATTCTGAATCTTTAGAATTGCCATTCTATCATTTTCTTTCCTCCAGGATTTCGAGCGTTCCAGGGCATTCAACTTCCTGAATGAAATAAAGAAACGGTTCCAGACAACATATGGATCAAGGGCGCAGACAGCACTGCCCTATGCCATGAACAGCGAGTTTTCCAGTGTCCTCTCAGCTCAACTGGTATGACTTGAAAAAACCTTGTACCTAATACTTTGGGAAGTGTTGGTTCATTTTTGGATAGAAACAAGAGATCCTGTGGTCTTGGAAGATCAGGTTTAAAACCTGATAAATGTCTGCAATTTGTTGAAGGGATTTTGCTTCCCAAAGTGTGTTATACAGTAAATAGGAAGCATATAAAGTGAATCTTTAACTCGCCGAGTTTGTGATGGCACCTCATGCTGCACTTTAGGCAAAAGCTTACTAAACAAAAAATGTCTGCTTTAGTTTAATCTTTGCAGATTTTGTGTAATACTCCTTTTATGCACTACATCTAACATCTATGCTGTATGTCCTGTTTAGATGTCAGAGTACCTTCCATGGCTCATGGAATAGTGTTACAGCAGTTAACTGATTAAATTTGGATGCAGTGTCAGCCCACGTTATATTAGCCTATCCCTGATTTATAGAACATGTACAGTGCAATAGATGCCTCTAAGCAGCATGGTATTGATTAATGTTCTCAGATACACAGCTACACTACAAGATCTAACATTTTTCCCTCCGCCTAATACATGATCAGTGCTTTTTGTCATGTGAGCAGCTAGTGAGCTCTTTCTAAGCCAGTCACATGGACACTTGTGATCTATGTGCATTGCAGTGGACTGAAAGGAGTGGTTAGGCTGAAACATCATGAGACCAGATACCAGTGGGATTTCCTTCCTCTCCAATTGCCTGTAGCTCACTGCCCATTATTGCTTGTGTGTTTTTGTTTATATAGAATTTTTTTTTTTTTTTTTTACATTATATTATTAAAGCAGTTGTACACTTGTTTGATTACATCAAAGTATTTAAAGAAACACTATAGTGTTAGGATTCCTAACACTACTGTGTTTGTCCCACCCCCACCCCAAGGTGGCAGTCAGAGGGTTAAATACCCCTTTAAATATGTGCTTGTTTTCAGCACCGCGATCTCTGGGAACTGCATTGTATTGGATTGCAGGGTTAAGGGGACAGATACCTGAAAAGGCATGTTTAGCATTTGCTAGTTTCAGGTCAATTCCATATGTAAATGGAATCTATCATTACATAGATTTATGGGTAATTTGATTGATTGACCTTTTAGAATGATGAATTGACAGGACTCCAGCTTGGGACTCTGAAATAATGCAGCTGGAATCCTATCCACTAAGCTATCTCACCAGAAGAAAATTCCCTTTGTCTAATTGCACTTTTACATCTAGCAACATGTGAAAGCAACATAGTTAGATACCTGCACACTGTATCTCCAGGAGGCAGTAGACTTTAAAAAAAATAATAAAAAAAATAATAATAATTCCACTAATAAAAAAAGCAAGTAGCAGGCCACTTGACCTCAATATTAATCTGAATGATTATGCAAAACCTTTATAATCATGTATTCCTAATCTTCCAGCAGTTCTCGTTTTATGTTGATGTATTGCAAATTGCTCTATGACAGATTATAAGGTTCTACATCAAAGGGAGATTATTCAAATACTTATAGAAATTTAAAAACTTGCTTAGTGATGTCATTTTCTTGGATTAAAGTGCTCAATTTTTAAGAACTCTGACTTGTCTTGAAAACCATTAACTTAACCAGGACTTGCATGAGAGTTTTACATTTTATGCCAAAATTGACTAATTGGAAAAAATCTACAATTTATGTTTGCAGTTCTGTTAATATGGCCTGAAAATCTTACATTTTCTGCCAGGTCCATGACAATTCATTGTTTAAAGGACCACTCTATGCACCCAGACCACTTCAGCTTAATGAAGTGGTCTGGGTGCCAGGTCCAGCTAGGGTTAACCCATTTTTTAATAAACATAGCAGTTTTGAGGAAGGCAGAACTTAAGAGATGAATAGATCTTCTCTTCTTCCTCAAGTCTCCACAATCAGAACATCATATCCATCCCAATGTCTTTGCAAAAAATGCTGAGACCCCACAAGTGACACACAAGCTTTAGGTGATCCTTTCATTATCATTCAAATATGTCATCTGTGTACCTTAAAGGGACACGATAGTCACCAGAGCAACTGCAGCTTAATGTACTTGCTCTGGTGATTATAATCGGTCCCTTCAGGCTTTTTTCAGTACACACTGGTTTTCAGAGAAAATGCAGTGTTTGCATTACAGCCTAGGGACACTTCCACTGGCCACTCCTCAGATGGCTACTAGAGCTGCTTCCTGGGGCAGTACTGCACAGAGTGAATTAAATTGTGTCTCCACCCTCTGTATGGAGAGGCACTGACACTGAACTTTCCTCGTACAGATGCATTGATTCAATGCATCTCTGAGTAAATGCTTATTGGCCAAGGTGGTGCTTGCCTTCACTCCTGGCCCACCTACTTGGCTGAGATAATCAGGATTGACAATCTGTATAGGCATTTAAATAATGTATATGTAATGTTTTGGGGCAAATAAGGAAATGTCATCTCAGAATGGCACCTGGTTTGCCCTGATAATTATGACCCAATATGCCCTAATGTTCTCTGAATTAATAGCCGCAGAAGAGTTAAAAATTTGTGTTGCATAGGATATACAGTTAGTGTGAGGTCAGCTATGTCAATTTCGATGATGGAGAGGGAGTTTGTGCTCTTTAGTTGTATTTGTTGTTGTCGTAGACAGTGCCTAGGCTAGATGCAGCTTTCCAGCTGTGCTTGCACTGGCTAGGTGTCATGGGAGAGATAGCAACATCTGGAGGCACTTGCTGTTTTATAGGCCACTGGTAGGCAGACATGCTATCTAGTTTTGTTTTCTACATCATGTGATACAGAGATGGGGAAACGGAACACCTTGCTAAAAATATATTTTGTCTCCATTTAACTTTATTTTTTTTATTTACACAGATAATTATTGTACAGAGGTTTTGGTTAAACGTCACCAACAGAACATGTACCTGATATTTCTTCCTTTTCTATATTTTGTAGCATCTTATTTTTATTCTAAATGGGAAAATTAAGAAGCCGATGATATTATTTCAGAATAACTGAAGGAATAAGAAATCCCAGAATTAATTGTTATATATTTTAAATAATGTCATGTAATTGTTGTATTGTTTTGTAATGCTAGTTTTGAGACTTATTTTTAAATGTATATTTTATTTTAGAAACACCACTCGGAGAACAAAGCTGTGGACCGTGTTGCAGAGACACAAGCCCAGGTGGATGAGCTGAAAGGGATTATGGTTCGAAATATAGGTACATGAACAGCTAGATCTATAATGTACACGTTATACAGTGAAGCATTAAAGTTACCTCTGCCCTACTTATATAACATGCTAAATTGATGTTTACATGTTGTGCTAGCAAATACATAGAGCAAACGTTTTTCGCGTATAAGAATAGGTGTGTGTGTGTGCGTGTTTTGCGCTGCGCTTCCTTCCTTTATGTGGATCTTATCATGCACACATTTATAGTTGTCAGGTTCACATTAAATTACATATTGCCCAAAGGGTACATATATGTTCATTCCTTGCCTCCAGCAGTGCTGGTACAAGTCCGTTCTTCCACACTTTGTGGTCTGGATCTTTTATAATAGAGATTGCTCTGTCACTCCTTGAGAAGGAAGAAGACCATTAGAAATACCATCTTGTGCAATGGGAACTATTACTTCATAAGACTATTTATAGCTTCCCTGTAAAGAAACAGTCAAGGACTATTCAGAACACAAGAAAAATGGTACATGTAGCAAAATATAATATTAACTTCCATATTTTCAGGTTACTAAATGGCATTTCAGAGGTGGAAAAAATTAAGTCTGAAGGACACTCTGTGATTTTATACCTGAGCTGAATGGTCTTCCATGTCAACAGCATAGGCAAAATCCTTGTTGTGCCCATTAGGAACGTACTTGTTTGTTCATGAGTATTCCCGGCACTTAGTTCATTGATTGACCCACTGATGCCACAGAGACCACTTAGATGGAAGTCCAAACCTCCAATCACTCTAGTAAATACCATCATTTGATTTCATCCTGATTGGTTGAGGGGATTACTAACCCTATAGTTCTGTGTAATAATCCCTAATGTGTTTCATTTGTGGGTCAGACGACATGAGTAGCTGCCTAAGTCGCTCTGTTCTTTGTCACTAGAAATATCAAATGTGTTTTTGTCTGGATATTGGTTTGCTGTTCTCTTTATAACACATTCCCCATATTAAGTGTAGGAGCTGTTAGGAGACTAACAGGCTGATCTCTCCTTTTAATGTGTTTTTATGCAACATCCTCTGTGATAATGGATATCCCTGCCATGTCTTGGCACTATTATTGAAATTGTAAGTGTCCTTACACACTGACCTATGTCTCTATTTGGTTGTTGTTTTATTGACCAGCATGTAATTTTGGTGTGATTTAAAATCCCAGTGTGTGTACTACTGATCCAAAACTGTCTTGTCCATTTAGAATTCTGGTTTGTGTCTTCATTACGATTTATTTTCTTACTATACAGATCTTGTTGCCCAAAGAGGAGAGCGGCTAGAACTGTTAATAGATAAAACAGAAAATCTTGTTGACTCTGTAAGTATGGTTAAAATCCCATATTTTTACCTATAGAAGCTACCTCTACTAATTTTCACTTCTGAATGCATCAATAAAAAAAAAAAAAAATGTATGTATATGGCTACAAATAAAGTGTAGACATACAGGACCATCTAAAATTGTCTTGAAACCTGTCCACAGGCATCCCAATAGTCAAGATCTTATTGATGATCAATGAGGGGGTAGACAGAGGGAGCTAATGTACTAGGAACCACTTTGTATTCCTGGCACTATAATATCCCTTTAAGAATAATTTGTCAAAAGAGTAAATTATTTCTTTTAAACCATAGCACCATGACCACTTCAGTTTATTGTTGTTATGGTGCAAGGTATTTTTGAATGCCTCCCTCACATTGTGTCAGACCAGATACTGTTTGACAACAAAATGTGCTCTGCCAGCACCTAAAGCCTAGTTCTGAGGTTTGAACTTTGAGGTCTATGGAGGATCCAGCAATTCCCTGCAGCCATCCATGGTAACGTCAGGGGAATTGACACTTCTAGAAATATGTATGAAATAAATATGACTTTGCAACAGTTTTGTGGAGGTAATTTTTTAAAGTGCGAGTAAAACTGAAACAGGCAATCCTGATTTCTCTTACTATTCTGTGTTTTATTGGTAATCTATAAGACCGTAAGAGGAATCTTAAAGTGGAACTGTCACGTGGGTTCTTGCACAACTTGATCTCTAACTGAACATTGCTATGGGTTGTGCTATAAAATTCAGTTTTTATTTTATAATGTACTTTTAGCAATGGGAATGGTGTATGCAGACTTTTTAAAAAAATGCTGTAGTACAGCATTTCTCTCCAGATGCTAGCGAGCTCATAATTGTGACATTACCCACTGCTGAAATACTGTAGATTCCACTACATGCTTCACACATAGAATGTGATTGCAGATAAGAACCATTCGGCCCATCTAGTCTGCCCAATTTTCTAAATACTTTCATTAGTCCCTGGCCTTATGTTAAGTCTAGGATAGCCTTATGCCTTTCCCGCGCATGCTTAAACTCCCTCACTGTGTTAACTCTACCACTTCAGCTGAAAGGCTATTCCATGCATCCACTAACCTCTCGGTAAAGTCCTTCCTGATATTTTTAAACCTTTGCCCCTCTAATTTAAGACTATGTCCTCTTGTTGTTGACTAGGTGGTGATGATGAGATTAGGGTGTAGAACAGTATGTTCTTACTGCTGTTGGTCAATGCTCTGCTCTGTTCCAGACTGGGAAACCAATCTATCATATGATATCCTGGTGCCATCTCTGCTCTGAGCAAGCCATTGAGGCATGGGGATAATGGGTCTATTACAAAACAAAGTTGAATTTCATGAATGAAAAAGTAATAGTATTGTTTTGGTTTTGCCAAGAAACCGTAAATCGTGTCTTTATATGTTTGAACATTTATGTTTTCCTCCACTAGTCTGTAACGTTTAAGACCACAAGCAGAAACCTGGCTCGAGCAATGTGCATGAAAAACTTGAAGTTGACCATCATTATTGTCGTTGTTGCAATAGTAAGTATTTATCACATTTCTTGGTTTACCATTGGTGGACAGATTTGCCCTGGGAGTGTAGCTGTAGTGTAGCCATTCTAATGACCTGTAATGTTCGTGATACTTGTATTACTCATGGAGCAGAGTACTAATAAAAACAATTTTATTTTAGAACCAAAGTAAGTGAACTGCTGCATATTACACAGTATGTTGTTGGTGGTTAAATAGAATGTGACTTCTGCAAGGTTTTTAGTGTTATCTGCTTGGTACAAGTTTACAATTGCCAGACCCTGCTGGTTCAGGTCACAAATCAGTTTTTGAAACACCTTGTACATGTAACATTTCAGCTCACAGAATCAGGTAGAAAAGTTTGTAGCAACCCAGGGAAGCCAGGAAAGGGGAGATGGGTTGTCAAAGAAAGAACCGTCACTTCTTGAGATGTAACTGGTTGTAAAAAGATTTTCAAGCCACAACCATAGTTTGAAATTGTACAAATATCAATCCTTTTTCAACAGGTTTAATTTGAAATAATAAAAGAAAATTAGAAAACAAAAAGGAACAAATTGATGTGTAATAATTCCCGTTCACTCCATATTTACAGAGATTTGTTTTTTCAAATGCACAAATGCAAATAACGTTCAGAGTTAGGGCTGTAACTTTAAAAAAAATAAAATAGAGATTTGGTCAGCCAGGTTTGTTAATTACACCATTGACTATGATTTTAAAGGGAAGCACCATGATCACTTCAGCATTTTGAAGTTGTCATGTGCAAGGACACTATGAAACGCTGCACTTACTTTATTTTATATTGATACAGGAGTTGTAACTGTGTGTGTTGGGCAGCCTTCATTAGCCAAACAGGAGTGAGGGTTCCGGACTGGCTAATGTTAATTCAATTGTTTGCAGAGAGGTTAATTCTTTGACTGAGAGCGCTCAGCTTATACTTTCACCCAATGACGAACATCAGGACAAACTTCTAGTTTCTGCAGAAACTGGATGCTCATTAAGACTCCATATCCTTACCGGATGCAAGTAAGCAGGAAACTGTTGTAACCGGGTTTACCCCCTTACCCAGGGTACTTCTGGCATCATCGTAACTACAGTGGACTGAGCCAAGTAAATCTTTAATATAAACATATTATGTTTCCAAATGTACGAGACGAGTTAACGTTTTTCTGCGAGTTTGAAAAGTTGTCTTTTTCTCTTTTTTTTTTTTTTTTAACTTCATTTAGTAGGAGTGTACAAAATTACAGAGTCACATAAACCAACAGAATGCTAAATTTCCTTCCTCTCCATAAAATACAACGTTCAATAGGATTTATTATGGTTGGAGAACTCTAACGAAGGGAAATAAACGCTCCTACCTCTGCAGCACATCCATGTTCAAAGTCCCTTGATGCAGCTCCTGGGACATCTGCAGGGAATGCTTTAAAAGCACACTTGTACTTATTCCTTCTGTAGTGCTCTTCACTTGCATAACACTGCAAGAGTGGTTCAGTTAATTTACATGGCATGCTGTGGCAAAACCACCTCGGCTAGCCATTCATTGTAAATGATGATAAAATAAAAAATGGTTGAGAATTTAAAACAAAGGACAACCCAAAAGCTTTTGCATAACCATCATTTTGTGCAAAGAACTCTAGTTGTCAACTTCTCGCTCTCAACCTGTTGAGCTTTGTTTACAAACACAGGCACCGATGATTGTAGTTAATAATTGCTTAGAAAGTTATGGGTACACTTCCCTTGTGTACGTATTGGGCCTGCTATTTATTTTTATACTGCATTAACCTTTTATCAACCCATATTTTTTTTTTTTTTTTGCTGTTTACTAACATGCTTTCCCTTTTACCTGCTAAAGGTCATCATCTACATCATTGTGTCAGCAGCATGTGGAGGATTGTCATGGCCCAGCTGCGTGAGCAAGTAATCTCCTCTTTTTCCGATGCATGAAAGAGCTCCCAAGGAACAGAACGTGAAAGTACTACCTATTCATGTGAAGCATCCTAGAGAAAAGAGACTTGATAGAAAAGCCTTTTCCTTCTGGAACCCATTAAGGCATCTCATTATGTCCCCTAACTCACGCATCCTTCTGGACTTGCATTGTATCTCTTTGCCTTATAACATATACAAGGAAACCTCACCCAGAGAGCCCACAGTTTTGTGCAACCACATTGGGGTGCATTGAAGAATGGTAAAATGAAGATCTAAATGTTGTTTGTTTTGGATGCTAAGGATGTTTTTGTTTTGAGATATAGATATATATATTTTTTTCTTTTTCCAATTTCTGGTTTTCCATCACTAAAATCTGTGCATTGTATAATATTTTTCTGTGTACCCCTGCTACAGTTTGTTTTAGCTGGGTTATGTTTTTTAACCTCTCTTGAAAAAAAATGTTCCGGATTCTATTTTGGGTGGTTTGTTTTGTGTTATTTCTACAGGCACACATACAATTATTGCTGTCCGGCCTGATGTTGCAGGATTTTCTGCTTTGGTGGCCACTTGACATATGCACTCATACAATAGAAAATCAACTTTTATGTTTAATCACAAATTAAATTGGGTAGGAAAAAATTACAGCCACTACTCTAGATGTTAAATTATTTAAAAATGATCAGTGGAGTACATTGCTTGGCTGCTTTTATGCATATTGTTTTGCGATTTAATTGGAGCACAGCAGAAGCCTTTTGTGTTAATGTAACTATCGGATAATTCAGAAGTCTTATTTGAGTGTATTTCTAAGGAAAGAAAATTCATGAACTAACAAAAATCCTACACAGTTGTCTTACTTTCTTAGCAAACTTATGTTATTATTTGGGCATCACCTTGGATCTGCAGTATGTTAACACACAAAACCTTGTTAGATTTGATTACACTAGCCACCAGTCGCCCATCTCCTACCACAGCATACTGTTCCATATAAAAGTGCAATACCTAATAAATTTTGTTTTTTTTTCCCATGTATGAAATCTGCTAAACACCTTTCACCTGTGTATTCTGTCAATAAACTTACAATTTAAGTTAACTTGATGCTTTGTTAGATGTTTTGAGATGAGGATGGTTTTTTTTTTTTGTTTTGTTTTTTAAAGGGGGGCTTAGATGATTGTTATATTGGCTGCTAAGCCATTTAATAAATAGAAAAGTTGTACTTTCAGAGAATGTACAAGAAGTTAACACACAGGCTATGATTTTCAATGTACTTTGTCCTTCGAGTTCTGTTTAGTCATATTGCTTATAATACACAGCATTTAACAGTTAAGGGAGTGCCAGTCCTCCTGTTTGCACTCCGTAATAGAAATCATGGTTTTAAATACAATTTAAGGTTTTTGTTTTGGCATTTTTGGTTTTTCCCACAGTCTTAAAGAAACACCATTGGTCCAGGATGTATCCACCAACCCCTAGAAATTAAATTGAGCTTTTTTGGATATGTTCACATGGCCTGGTTTGAAACCAGTGTATTGGATATTAGTGAATTTACATTGAACTGCAGGAATGTCCATCCATTTGTGTTAAAATGCTCTGATCTTTTATCACATCAGTGTCTATTTATTGGAAATAACACATGCAGGCAGTGACTTGAATGCCGAGAGCCTTTTTACTGGTGAATGCTGTCGTTCAATGCAAAATTAATGTATGTTAACCATGTAGAAAGTATCCTTGTTTCTTATAAAGCAAACTATTCCTTGTGACATTGTTTTTAAAGTTGCTTCAATGTGGTTGGTATGTTAGTAATTCAGAGTGCAATATAAATAGAACACTAAAAGCTACAAATTATTATTAAAGGAACACTATAGGGTCGGGAACACAAACATGTATTCCTGAACCTAGGTGTTTAACCCAACATTTAGGTGGCTTGCCCTCCCCCGCTCCCGCCTTAGTATCCTTAAAAGGAATTAAAACTCACCTTAGTTCCAGCACTGCGCGGGTCTGTCCCTTTGGTGACACCATCAGAATTGCAGGGTTTTTTTGGGGGGAGGGGGTTGGGAAAGCATTGGATTGGCTGTAATCTGCAAGGGACGGGGCCAAATGCCATTTTGGCCAATTAACACCTCCTCCTAGACAGATCAATGCTACTCTGAGGGAAAATTCGGTGTCCCCATGCAGAGCGTAGAGACTTTGAACGGCAGTCCTGCCTACTGTGCAGCACTGAGCCAGGAAGCGCCTGTAGTGGCCACTTGGAGGTGTCCCTAGGGGCAATGTAAACACTGCCTTTTCTCTGAAAAAGCAGTGTTTGCATAAAAATGCCGGAAGGCAATGATTACTCACCAGAACTACATGAAGCTGTAGTTCTGGTGACTAGTGTCCCTTTCACATTTTAAGGATACTTGCAAACACAGATACTCTTACCATTTACACACATAAAAGTGAAACCTTTTATCCTCCAAACACATCAATAAAGCAAAAAAAAGTGATGCAATTAAGAAAGTGGGTCCTACATCTCTAGATAACTTTTTATGTGTGAATTATATACCAAAAACAAAACTAGTTCTATATTTTTATGCTGATTAGTTATATATGAAATTGCATAAAATATTGAACTCATGTGTTATTTTTTCTTTATATGATTTATACACTTTTTTTAATCTGAAGCTGTACAAATGATCCCCAAATGTAAACTAGCACCCACTTTCACCACTCTGTATTGTATACTGTTTAATAGTATGGGGGGAGGGTGCAAATTTGTGGATCAAAGAGAAATATTTTTGCGCTGGGTGTTTTTGTTCATATCATATAAAAGGTGAAACCGTCTTACTTATCGCCTCCCTTTCAGACCTGGCTGTGGTTGAAATAACCTGTGTGGTGCTAACCTCCTTATATCAGCATATGCAATAAAAATGGAATAACTCGTGGTAGAGAGCCCATCTACAAAGCATTAGCTCCAGAATATAACTTGGGGCTTACAATGTCAAGTCCTATGCTACTCGCCAGACCTTAAGTTAGTCACAAACCTGGGGAGGCCATTGCATGTTCACCAGGGCTATGTTTTTGACTTGCCAATGGCTAATTGAAATTTTGAGCCCTGTATTACAGATCAGCTGTACAATTAAAGCTTGAAAAAAAAGAAAATAAATTTTTTTATATACCAGTGGTTTCCAAACCATTCATCAAGGCCCTCACCCCCCACCAGTCCAGGACTTCAGGATTACCCACTTGTCTTAGGTTTTGCCCTCCCCTTCTACTAAAAACACCTTGAACACAACTGGGTAATCCCTAAATCCTGGACTAAAAGGGTGCTTTGAACGGATTTGGGAACCACGGCTATAAACAGTTTCTGTGGAAAAGGTGAAGCAATATTGCCAAACAAAACGCTGTATGCAAAGAGAGTACACAGAAATAAAAAAATAAAAAAAGTGTGAGGGTAACTGCTACGGCCTGAAATGCACATCTTGGAGAAACATACTCCAGCCAGTTGGGGGGAAAAAAAAAATACTTACTGTTTAATATGTTTATGTATATTGTTATACCATATCTTCCGGTCTCTTTTTGTGGGTTGCAAGCTCCAAACAGCAAACCATTGGGTAGGATAGTGCAATCCCTATGGGGCAAATAAAACTCTCATAGCTAAACATGTTTGCAGGCTCTGTTTGTTCCGCTATTGGTGTTACAGTAGATTGTCAACCATTAAAATCAGAGCTACAATTAGAATATTATGCTGTTGAATTTTGCCTGAGAATCCCTTATCAAAGAATAATCACCTTAAACCCTGAACCAATTGTACAAGCTGTGATGTAAACAAAACTTTGAATTTGCGCTATAAGTCTGTTCAGGCGTAATTCAGCACTTTCATATTAAATACACCCACACTTATTAGATATTTTGTGCAGGAGAAACAGGGTTTATGGTGTTTTGGAAAGTTACAGGATCTAATATAGCACATTACATTTTTCAGTTTATACACATTGAAATTTGCCAGACTGGTTATGTTGCCTTTGAGACCAAATGGTAGCCCAGGAATGGAAATTACACCCATGATGGCATACCATTCTCAAAAGTAGACAACCCAAGGTATTACAAATGTATGTTCAGTCTTTTCTAGTAGCCACTAAGTCACAAACACTGGCCAAAGTTAGCTTTAATATTTATTTGAGTGAGAAAAATGCAAAAAACTAAATTGAATGCTAATTTAAGTTTTTTTGAATTTAATATATTTATAATCAAAATACAGTTAGAACAAATTAAAATTTTGTATTAATTTATTAAATGGAATATATATATATTTACCGTATATACTCTAGTATAAGCTGACCCAAATATAAGCCGAGGCACCTAATTTTACCTCAAAAATCTTGGAAAACTTGTTGCCCTCAAGTATAAGCCTACGGTGGGAAATGCAAAGCTTCAGATTATCCCATGACTAATGGGAGTTAGTCACATTACAGACTTTTGCATTAGACAGAATTTGCAGATTTTTTCTCACCCCCACATCCTTAGTGGTCCTTTTCCCCTTCTCTTCCCCCTCTCACCCCCCCATATCTCCTTAGTGGTCCTTTTCCCCCTCAGTGGCCCTACCTATGTAGCGTGGCCTGGCAGCGCAGATCGCAGTACAGGAACTACGTGAGCACTTCCTGTCATTCTGCCAGCGGCCGGGTACAGGAAACAGACGTTCCTATACTGTGGTACGCGCCGCCCGGCAACACTACATTGAGTGGCAGGAGGGAGCGCTGTGCACTTCCCTCTTACCGGTCACCTAAATCTAGCGCCCCCGCGGGAAGTGCTCACTCGAGTATAAGCAGAGGGGGGCTTTTTCAGCATTAAAAAAAAAAAAAAAAGTGCTGAAAAAGTCGGCTTATACTCTTATATATGGTAACGTCATTCTAAGTGTATTTTAATATATAATTAGATTAACATACTTAATGATGTATGTGTATATAAAAGTACATATATATTCTATGATCTAAGTACTTATTCAATTTAAAAACAGTTTCAGAACTTTTACAAACTTTCTTACAGGCATGAGAGGGACCATCAGAGCTCAGGCAGTCCCTCTGCAGGCACGGCATAAGCCGGCTATTCCGACCATGTGACCGCAAGGAATCCGCGATCACATGGGGGGGAATCTGCCAGAGGGGGTCCAGACCCCTGGATCGAGACTGCCGTCGGCATTTAGGACCACCTAAAAAAGGAGGGCATAGAACGCCCACTGTCCTAAAGGGGTTAAAACGATAGAGATAGTTAGATTTTTTTAAAAATTTTTTTATGAAATACTCACATTGACTCTGTTGGAATTTCACTGACATTCCAACAGTTGAGAGATACTGAGACAAAGTAGGGAGTATTTTGTCTCTGTCTATTTCCTACACCTGTCACTGCACACTAGGTGGAGCTACCACCGTCAAAGTATTAGACCACCAGTCGTCACCAGTGATAGCATCATCTAGGCATATACCTCAATGCTGTACCTGCACATGCACTAACATTCAGCAGTGATGGCAGCTCTTGGTGCTGAAGTGCCAGAAGCTGAAGAGGACCCAGCAGAAGATGGCGGCACCTTGTACAGGCAAGCAGAACTCACCTTTGTCAGTCGCCTCCCCTCTGGACACCGGAACCCAGCAGCTTTTTCAGTCAGGGGTCTTTAGAAATTCTGAAAAGTCCCCAGATGGCAACAGTGCCACTATGGGAACACACTAACCTCCAGAAGTAAAATTGCTTAATGTAGTGGTTCTGGAGGTTATAGCATATCCCTGCAGTGTTACCACTTTAAACACTGCATTTTTAGAGAAAAGGCTGTGTTTACATTGCTGGCTAGTAAAACCTCTAGTGGCAGTCACTCAGATGTCCGCTAGAGGTGCTTTCTAGTTCAGTGCTGCACCTATGTTTAACATCTCCACGCTCTGGGTGGAGACGCTGAATGTTCCCAATAGAGATGCATGGATTCATCGTGCAGACATTTTTCAAAGTCTCTTATCACACATTGCTGGCTCTATACAGCCTTCATCCTTGTTCTATGTAGACTTCCTGTTTGACGTTGGTGATGCAAATTTACATTATACAATGCACTCTTTAAAAATTCAGCTGGAGGAAAACCGGTTAGCCAGATCTGCAGAGCAGTAAAAGGCAATGAAAGGACTACTTACCAGACCTCAGATAAGACTTTTAAACCTCGCACCTGTCCCCTGGAGCGTATAAGAGCTAGAAAACAGCCTGGAACGTCACTTCTGGTAGCAGCTAAACAGCGCATGCGCAATAGAATCAGTGTCTCAAATAACTCCACCACACATACGCTGGCATCGCTCCACTGCACCCCCACCCAATCACAACAGAAAAAAATATTAGGCCAAAAGTAATGAAGTTGTCCAAATTGAGTGTTGGACAGAAATGTCTGAGAAGGAAAGGGAAGGTCTTTTATTAATATGGAGGGGTGGGAGATTAAACAGTCAACGTAGTTTTAGGGGAGGATTTAAACCTACTTGAGTGTTGCCATGAATACGGCCAGAAATTTTTTATTTTATTTATTTTTTAACAACCTTACTTCTTCCGTAGTCTCAGACATTTTGTGTCAGAAGCTGCACTTCACATACTTTATTTAGCACATTAAATGTTCCCAAAAGAATAAAAGCACTAATCTCTACATTTGCTTATATGAAAGCATGTACAGATATCATGATAAGCTACATTTCTAGACATTGGGATTAATGGAGTGTTTTTCCAGATGATAACTAATGTAAATAAAATGTTCTCTGCAAGCTCTCAAACTCTGCTGAACAGACCATAAAATAAATGAGAGAAAAATTCAATAGAGATGTATTTATTTACTGAGGGTGAGTCAAGCAAAATAACCATAGGAGACTTCACAAAAACATTAATGTCTCTTCTACACATTGCAACAAATTAACTCCATATAACCACACAAATATTGTGCACCATCGTTTGTGATTTCATCTAAACCATTTATACTGGCACAGGAATTATTTTCTAGTCCTCGAAATGGATCCTAAATATCATAACCATATATCTATATGTATATTATATTCACACTTTTTCCAAGAAATAATTTGATCATGGATGTTAAAAACCCGCAGATGGAAAAAAATCTGCTGCGGAATAGAAAAGTAAAAAAAAAAAAAAAAACTTTTTTTGGGGCCTTTGAAATGGCAAATCAAAGAGGTAAATAGAAACAATATGTATATAAAAACACACAAGGTCTCTTAGGGACATCTATATTTGACATCTACGGTGGTTTCCAACAACTGATTTTATATAACCCTCAGAAATGAATGCAACATTCACAGCAGTGCAAATGGTCAATTTGTAAGTGGCATATCAAAGTACACACATTTCTACTAAATAAATGGCTCAGTGTTTAGGTCAGAACAGGTTCCATCATTAAACTGAAACTTCTGCTACAACAAGCAACAACACAAAACACATACCGAATCAAAGTATGAAGAATGCCAAACTTGTAATAGAATTGACAGTTAAAGAGACATAATGTCTGAGTTTGACAACTAGATCAGAAAAGCTAGCAATTTGGTTTTTCTTCTTCCTCTGAAATGTTCGAAAGTCCAGCCCGCTGGACTAGAAAAGAGATAGCGTAAAACTCCTGTTTGGAGAAGTCTAATAGCACCCTTCTTTCCAGGAGTCATCACTGTCCAGTGTACTATTTGTCTTTGAGGAATGAAGAGACCTATATGGGGCAGGGGGGGAAAGCACATTATGAAATTGGAACAGGTACAAAAAAAAAAGAATTTGAGTGAATAAGAGAAAAGACTCAAAACACAAACATAGAATGTGACGGCAGATAAGAACCATTCGGCCCATCTAGTCTGCCCAATTTTCTAAATAAACACCTTTCTAAAATTCATGCAGGATTTTAGCTATCAGCCTTCCACTGTGCAGTAAGACGGAGGAATCCTCAAAAAAATGTGAGGAACTCAGGATTTGATTTGTTGCTGGTATAACATTGAGCCTCTTTAGACATTTTGTTTAGTAAACATCTAAATATTTGTTAATCTAAGTCACATACAATTGTATCAAGTAATTTGATAGTTGACTGAATCAAATAAAAATAGAAAACTGTTCTACATTGAGTCTTATGACATTCTGTTACAAAATATTCAAAAATATATTTGCACATTTTACAGTACACACAGATATGTCTCTTGTAATCATCTGTTTTGCATAAGCACTGTGGATAGTTGTAAATCATATTTACATTTTGGTTCTGCAACACAAACGTTAAAATAAACAGAAAGCATTCCTGCCATATGCTATGCTTTTTGCCAGCCATAGTATAGGAGCCCCACAAGATGTTAAAACTATACCTTCCATGTCTCTTTACCATCTAGTGATAGCTATATAGGCATCATAGCTCCACAAAAGCCAGAGACCAAGTGTTACTGGTTCTCCTTTCCGGATGTCCCCCTAAAATGTTCTTGATTGCCTTTTTATTGACAAAATAAATTTCATGCACTAACATAAGTACTGGTGGTAACAGTGCAGAGAGGAAGGGAGTTCAAGTAACTTCTTCCCAGCTAACAGAGCACCGCACGGGGAGGAGCAGACAGAGAGATGGTTTTAATACGAATCTCAACTTATGCTGTCTGCAGACTGCATCTCCTTTGAGATAGTTATCTTGAATACACAAATATTAGTATTTTTGAAATTTTCAAGGGCCAATGGGGGTGAATAAAGTTTAAATATTTAGATTTTTAACAAAAGGCTGTTGGACCATCTAAGGTCTTCAATGGAATTATTCTGGGAGTGACTGTCCTTTTGAGTCTTTGGAGTGAGCACAGTACATGAGTTGCTTTGTTTATATGTCACTACATTTTTTAATTACATTGAACTTTGCACTATATCTGCTCAGGAGTGGGGTGCATAAGCCTGTGGGGCAATTGTGTTGATGCTGCTTTAAGAATATATAACAAAGTGTAAGCGTTCCTATTGTAAATCCAGAAATAAGGTCAGTAAAAGAAATAATTTTTTTTATTCATTTTTAAAAAGAAGAGTTGTTTATTTTGAACAACCCACGATGGATGAAACACCTTGCGCTTTACCGTTGTTCCAGTGACGACCTTTTAATAGACAACTTTGTCTCCTATTTAAATACCAATGATTGGGGATTGGCTTTTACATGTAATAAACATAGACCTAAGATTGAATTTCTGGATCTACTCTTGTGGGGAGAAAATGATCATATCTGTACCAAAATCTCTCAGAAACAGGTTGATGTGAAAGGGTTTTTGCATGCCCCTAGTGGCCACCATCCAACCTGGATCTCCATTGTACCTTTGGGCCAATTGACGAGACTACGGAGGAATGGTTTCTCCCTTAAAGATTTTGAAGAGGAGGCATATATCCTAAATGTATGCTTCTTGGAAAAAGGATATCCCCCAAACCCATCTCTTCCACCTATAACAAAGTTAGGAGCATGGAGAGATCTCAACTAATCAAATCCCTCAAACAAGATCGAGCAAAAGTTTATCTTTCTCTGGCAGCTACCGACCCTGATCAGGAGTCTGTTGAACATCGAGATCATACATTTGCTTGAGGTAGACCAAGAATACGAAGATCCCGAACCATATATCTAATATTAGCACCAAGGATGTTTCACAGAATAAGGGTCCAATCTTTTCCACGGTTTAAAATAGTGCATTTGAGAAGATTATTGGAATCTTACACAAACACTGGTCCATTTTGAATGTGGATCCTGGCTCAAATTTAGTATCCCTGATAAACTAAGAGTAATTTTTAGGAAAAGTAAAAACCAAAAGAACATACTAGCTCTTTCGAAATATAACCCTGAGGAGGTTACTCATCCTAGCAACCATCAAGCACTAGGGAATTTTCGATGTGGCAGACCGATGCCTTACATGCAATTAATTATATGTGCTACAATGTTTTCCAGTTTGGGCCTGTAGTGGGAGGGGATCTATTCATATGATGGGATTAATTGTAACTTCCTTTGTGGTCCATATGGCTTACAATACGTTGGCCACACTACAAGACCCTTGAAAGTAAGGTTTAGGGAACACTGTCACACTATTTTACATAGAGATAAGAAATCGTTGATCCTTTGAGGCAGCTGCGGCCTTTTCCAAAGTTACCGACCGCAGCTTATGACGCGATCCCAGTTGGTGTGCTCCACGATTGCAGTACGGTGCCTGAACTCTGTGGGTGTATCACAGACAGCACGGTTCAATGTATCAGTGAAAGCAGAGCATCCGTGGCCTTTGACTGAGACATCTTTGGGTTGAGCTCGCTGGGCATCATATGATCTCTTTTCAATCTTGAGTCTTCAAGACTTCAACATCATGCGGATTTGTGGAGGGGCCCCCCATGGATAATTACTCCGATGCCTTTTTTTATTCATATTATTTACCATATTTATTGCTGTGGTTTATTTTTTTATTCCCTATCTTTTTTTAAGGTGTCACTAAATATATGCCAGTCAACAGTTTAGTTGACATACCCCATTCCCATCTTGTTCCGTGTATGAGACACTGGCTTGGGTTACATGCTCTAATTATTGTAAGTTCTGTATCTATTTAAACTTTTGAGACATTTCTTACATTGCAACATTCCGGTTGTAGTTATTTATATGGCATTACTACCTTGGATGTTGCGCTGTGTGCCTATACTTGTTTTATATGTTGTGTTTGAACTGATACCTTTGGAGCAGCTTGTTTTTTTAGTCTTTCTTTTTAAATATGAATAAAAATGATTTTTACTGACTATTTCTGGATTTACAATAGGAGCGCTTACACTTCATTATATATTCTTTGATTTACCACTTCCTAATCGCTCATTTCTAGTGTGAAGCAGCCCACGCTTTATGATTATATTTTGAATTACATGACACACAATGTCTTATATTTAACCTGGTGCTGCTTTCAATTCAGACAGAAAGCATGAATAGAACACTAGATCGCCTGTACGCCCAGGAAGCCAAACTCTTGTACCCAAAATATATGGAAATAATAGGGTAGCTAAAACATGTAAGTTATGACTGGTGTGTCTGTCCGGAAATATCGGTCAGTAGGTGTGCATGGCAGTGTATCTGTGTTTCAGTCAGTATGTGTATATATCTATTCAAACTAAACTATACACAAGTACACCCCTGCATTCAAACGTTAACACTACACACAAATGCACAATTGCCTTCAAATGCCAGCACTACATACAACACACCTCTACAATCATATGCACACATGTAATCAAATGTTAGCACTGTAAACAAAAAATCCTGCAAATGAAAAACACTATGCACAGACACACCCCTGCATTTAAGCGCCAACACCACACGCGTACATATTAAACTACTTTTACACACCAATATTACATACAAATGCACACCTGCATATGAACACGCATATTACATTTAATCACACCACTACATGGCAACAGTGAATACAAATACACTTGTACATTCACATACTTTATCCAAGATTGTGCTCACATTCAAATACACTAACAAGGACGGACATATGTTAAATGGTAGAACACAAGTTTGCAAAGCATTGTGGTAGTTGCACGACAGTTAAGGATTTACCTTTTGGCCATATCTTGCGCTAGATGGTGGCCCATAAAATATCTTGCCCCAGTGTTCTCTTTATTTTAGTTCCGCCATTGATTTGATGGTTTATCTATAGATTGAGGCCTCAAACTTTTTTTTGTTGTTGGACATAGCATTAAAATGTACTTTTAACTAGTTCTTCTTTACACCAGATCTTAATTCACTGCAAACTTCATCAGCAGCAGTAGGGTTGTAGATTAATTTCCACAGCATCAAAGTAGTGGTTTCCAAACTAATCTCCATTCAAAGGATTCAATTCAACAAGGTTTAAAAGAAAGACAACAATCAGTGCCAAATGAAAGTACTTACCTCCTGGATGGTTGAACCATTTTACTTTTAGAAGCCAGGTATCCTGCAGGTTGCTGAGATTTCACCCCAGCTTGTTTAACGGAAGGAGACACATTTCCAGTTCTGGAAATAGCACCTGACATGGATGCGTTCAAACCAGACGAAGATTGCATTTTACGGACACCCGTTGAAGAATTGTTACCATAACCTGATGATTTGATTGGTTGCCTTGAGGTAAGGAGTGAACCTGTGCTTACACCTGCTTTTATAGGCTGTCTGCCTGTCATTGAAGGCTGGCCTGAGCTGGAAGCAAAACGTAATTTGCTTGGTGGAGTACCTACAAAACAAAATCAATATTAGCCAAAATTATTTTTCTTGATTTGCCCAATGTTACTTTAGCTCTCATTTATTAAAAGGGACATTGTAGGCACTATAACCCTTTCATCTTATTGAATCCGTTATAGTGCCTGGAGTCCTCTACACTGAATGACTGGACAGCGCCAAACCAATTTAGAGCAGTTTAATACTAATGAAGGGTCCTTTATCACCCTTCTATTTAAAATGTGTCTTAAAATCATTACATTTTATATAAAATGTGTTATCTATACCCAGAAACATTTGCACACCATCAACATATGTTAAGTCACCTCTGTTTGCAGTTCACTATCATTTGGAATCGGATAACTTTTTGTCCAGTTTTATTATAGACTCTGCATGATTGCATCTACCACCCTCAGCTGACATCTGTTCATGAGATTACAAACTTCTTTCTTCCTACACCAACCAGATGTCTTAATGCTTTGTGAAATGCTATCACTGCCCTACCCTAAACAGAACAACTCTGCATGGTTATCCACTAAAGTGTTAATAGACTGGGATTCAAAGTAAATTTAATGTTTTAATCAAAAACAATTAACTGAAAAAAAATAGAATTTGTATCTTCGGGTATTTTGCCATAAAATGTGAGATTCATATTTTAGTAAATAACCCTGTAATTTTTTGATTAACCATAGTATAAAGGCACTGAAAATTTCACTGCATAAACAGAAATCTAGCCATGCCGCTTTCTAAAAGATACATACTGGTTGTGGGATGTTGAATCCTGGTTAATCGACTACTTGATCCCTGGAGATCCGACTCCAGACTACGACTGCTTCTTACTGCTTCAAGGGAACGTAAACTTGTTTTTGCCAAATTAGGCATACTGTGACGCAAGTCATCTGAAATACAGCAGACAAAACGGTCTAGTTTAACAATTTAGAAAGCTGCACCACAACTGTTCAATTATTAAAATCGCATATTGATTATTGCCAACATAAGATAACATTCACATAAAAGAAAACCATTAGAATTATGATTACGCAGTATAAATAATCATTTGCATCTGTCATTTGGATTTATTAACATTACTATCTGTTAATTTCTTGCAGTTGCATATCCCCATTGTATAACTGTAAAGCACTGTGGAGTACATTGATACTATAAATTCAAATGTAACATATCTTTTATAATTTCCTTCACAGCCACTTTAGTAAAGCTCACACAGAAAATACATAACATTCTTAATAATCCTTGCATCTAGATTAACCTTCACAGCTGGTATATTTCATCCGGTCTTGCATGTGGTTCTGAATGGATCTTCTTGGAGGTCGAATGCGAGAGGTTGAAGCTCTGGTGCTGTCCCCAGTTGTTGAAGGTGATTGACATCGAGGTGAACTTAGAGGTGATGGGGAATACCTATGAGTGCTACGAAAGGACAGAGAACAATCACAGTCATCCTCGTCCTCCAGACTATATGTGTCAAACTCCTGATCACTGAAGGTGCCTCTTCTGAGAGAATGTAGGGAGGCACTAGAACTGCGCCGTGAAACAGATGCAGAGCTAGAGGCATAATCCTGCCGGAGACCTGTAAATTTAAACATTGGTTATGAATTATATAAATAAGCAATGCAAAATAAGTAAACATTTTTGGAGCATAGCCATTAACACAGAAGGCCAAATACAAAGCAGTGAAAGGGTATTTGAAAAGAGGAATTTTTCTGAGTGTTGAAAGAGTTCAATTTCCATTACAGTTAAGACATTTATAATTCTTACTCTAGAGTTCTTTAAAGAGGCATCAGTGCAACCCAGAAAGTCAAGTGACCTGTTCCAGCTGGTACTGGCCAACATCCAGTATTAGAGAAAAAGTGTTTTTTCAATGCCACGTGACAAAACACATTTACCATTGCTGCCATAATGAAACACACACAATTATATGGTGCAGAAGAGAATTCACATTGGCAGGGGATTAATATACAAGGATTAAGGAAAACAAGTAAGAGTGCTATATTCAATGTGAATAAAATCATGTCTTACTTTCTTCTTGAAGACGAGCCATAACCTGAACGTCAGTCAAATCTTGTAACTTGTATCCCATAGATATTGAATCATCAGATGTACTCAACTCACTGTCTACCGAGGACTGAGAGCTGAGAGCGGAATGGATACTCAAATAGCCTTAAAGAATAGAGTATAGATCAAATAATTAACAAGAAATCTTTAAACTTTTATACACTGAATTTTTTTTAAAATAAAATAACTTTTACATTTAATTTGTTCTTTTGTCACTTTTTTTTTTTTAATTTCTTTTATTTTTGGTGTGTCGTTGCAATACATTCTGGTGGGAATAGCTGTATAGCATAGTACATACATGGCACAATCGAGTATAAGAATACATTGTCTTTTGTCACTTTTTATACCATGTAAAGTACCTTAATTAACATGACATCAATGGTATAGCTGACTCACTGATTGCACATTGTATAATCACTTTACACGTAACAGTTTATGTTTAATTTTACCTTTTCTTTAGATTTTGTTGAATTAATTTTTCATTACTCTTATCATAGAGATGATGGTCATTCAAGTGAAAATTTCAAAAGTAGGTGTTAATAGCATAATTGTGCTCTTGCAGGAATTGTAAAACTAATTTTTAAAGGAAAACACGTTCTATGCTGAACGGCAGTGCTGGCCCCAGGAGGAGTGGCCACTAGAGGTGTTCCTAGGCACTAAGGTAAACACTGCCTTGTCTCTGAAAAGGCCGTGTTTACAGCAAAAAGCCCACAGGTACTGACTATACCCACCAGAACAACTATATTAGGTTGTAGTTCTCGTAACTATATAGTGTCCCTTTAAAGGGGAACCATTTCTTGTGTGGAAATTACAAAGCTGAATAAAACACTGAAAATCGCCTGTGTCTTATGTTAACCTCTTCATTTTATTTTAAATTAATAAATATTTGGAAAATTGTGTCTCAATCCATTTCAGTTCAGGCACAACAGAGCACACACTGCAAATATAAAGGCAAATTATAAATTTTGGGAATCTATAAAAAGTGCCTATTCTAAATCGTGGTGCATAAACACATGAAAATGTGCCTGGTTTGCAATGTGCCTGCTGTTTTTATTGGTTTCCATGGTGACTGCACCACTTAGTATTTTTCAGAACCCAACTTTTTCATACATAACCCCCTGTTTAATTTCTCATCTTCTCTAAATACTTTCTCAATGCCGACTGCTAGGTACAAAGGACAAAGTTTCTAGCAATTTCTAACAGGGAGCGGAGATTGAGGTGCCATTTTATTTTTGCCACATAAATACCGGGGATAGGTAAACATAAGGTCAAAAAAACCTAGGAAGTGGCACCTCCTCTTTCAGAGGATTTCAAAGCATGTGACTGAATAAAATCAGATGTTTTCTCCAGAAGATTTGCATTCAGCAGTCAAAGACGCAATTCTCACACACAATTACATACATTTAGATTTTTATATTACAAAGTAAATATTGGTGATGCTTCATAGAGATCTAATTGTAAATAACTAATTTCCCCTAGGTGACCTTTGAATTTATGGTTTGAGTATGTAACACTGTCTTTTTGAAAGCAAAGGGGATTACCAAATGAGATAATTGGGTACTTTTTCCAGTCTCATACACCTCTCTAAAACTGGTGGTGGTGGTGTGTGTGTATATATTATACACACATACGTACATTATATTCACATACTTGCATACACTGACAACAGTTGGTATATGGAAACATCACCACTGCAAACAGGCTAATGTTTGTGCATGTAAGCTCCAAAACACATTTAGGAAGCCACTCTAGATCCTGGAAGGTTATGCCTCATTTCATTAGGAAAACATGTTACGCAAACTGCAGTGCGCTATGCTGTATAACGCACATCGGTTAGCTCTACCTAGCACAGTGACCATTTAAAAATATGAAACGTCCAACATATACAATATCTATTTTAGTAGTGATGGTGTATTTACTCTTTGTCAAAAAAAAGAAAAATAATGGAACTCAGACTTCAGAGCATCAAGAATTCAGACTCCCTTTGTCATAAGAGATCACACTAACCATACACATATTTTCCACACCCTTTGCAAAGACAGGCGTTCATTGTTGGGTTGTAATAGTATTCAGCCAAGTCAAAATCGCTAAAGCTCAAATCATTCAGCTTAAATTAAGGTAGTACAAAGAGTGAATAGCAACTTGTTGGATCAGAATGATCTGTAGGCCTGTACAGAAAGCAAGGCAGTAAAATTTCTCATTACCCTATAGACAGAGAGGTAGGAGTCTGGGTGCTGAAAAATCAGATTTGCACCCATATTTTCCATGCACCATAATCACTATAATAATCTTTTTGTAAAAGACCCCAAAAGGAGATGTGTGAGCTTACATGTGATGCCACTAAGAAAATAAGAAAATGTTTATCCAGGTCAGTCTAATATTAAATGGACCCTGGGCAAGAATTAGCTTGGGCCCCCTGGACCATTTCCCCCATCTCCAGCTCACTGGCATGCAATCACAACCTACACCCCATCGCAGTGATGGCACTAAAGAAGAGAGGGCCATAGTGCAAGAATTGTTTGTGCCTCTTGTCGCAAGGGTGACCAAAAGGTGAATCCCCATCTGCCGTGCACCTCCAACAACGCTTTGCATTTTTCTGTGCTTGCAAGGTTGTATTTAGCACTGAGCAGGGTTTGTGTGATTGAATGTAAGCATGTTTTTGTATGGAGTATGTTTGTGTGAATGTAGGAGTATGTTTGTATGTGCTATTGATGTTTGAAAAACAGGTATTTTGTATGTATTGTAGTTTCAATGAAGGAGTGTGCTTGTATAAAAGTGTTGTAGTTTGAATGCAGGGGTGTATGCACTTACACTGCCCCACAAACACACACGCAGATACACACTCGCTGACAGACAGACACACTAACACAGACAAACACACATTCTATTTTTACAGTTGGCCACCCTCCAGGTTCTTACCTTTTTCAGGAGGGTGGTTTCCCTGGGGTCCAGTGGCAGGCTGAGGTAGTTCGGTGTTAGGCTCTTGCACTCCTGGCCCCCTCCATACAGCCTCCCCCCTCCCACATGCTCTGATTTCTCTGTGGGAGGAAGTGACTCGCGGCAGTCACTTCCACTCAGGCGGCTGCCAAACACAAAGGGGCCGGGTCATGCTGTTTAAGAAGTACAGCGCCCGGTGGGCCTCCTTTTGTGTGCAGCCGCACCGCCGGATCCATGGGGCTCAAAGACATTGAGGGCAGCTGGACAGCTGCTCTTGGACCCCCCAGGAGCAGCTGCCCCATTTGCCCCGCGTTAAAGAGGGCCAAGTGTATTAGTATCCGCTGCCATAAATGACTGGCAGATCAAAAAGAATTACATTCATTTCTGTGAAAGGAAAACATGCAGTTCTCAGAGGAACCTAAGGATTTAGCCATCAACCAAGCTGGAAATGTTCTCAACCACCACTATTTTGGACTAAACCTAGCGAGCTGGTTCTTAACTTACTATAAGCCTCTATTTAGTATATTAAATAAGTTAAATGGAACGATGAGTGCAAATTAGAACTCCATGGTAAGATGTAGAAAATGTAAGGTGCTTGTTAAGGAAATGGGCAATCAGGAACATTCCATTAGAAAACATGCAATTAGCACTCCACGAATCACAGAACATGCCGTACCTGAGCTGCCACATGTTAGTAGTGGTTTGTTAGTGGATTTGAGGCACCCCGGTGAGTTTAATGAATTGTTACAGAAGCTGCCATCACTGCTGGGGTTAAATGCACTTGGCGAAGCCATCGGGCTGCAGTACAGGCTTTTCCATCTACTTGCTAAAATGAAAAGAAATTTAAAACATAACCAGGTTATCTGAAACCAGGATGAATAAATGAGATGCAAATTAACTGCAAGATTCCAAGAGATGAGGGTTATGAAAATATCCATGGAAATAGATTTGAATGAGAACAATGAGCCACCTTACAATGCATAGCTTCATAGAAAAGATTGCGATACTAGCTTTTATGTGACAATAGACCGTGTAACCCACAGCAAAGCACTAAGGCGGTTTTGGAGCTATAAGTTTACCTTATTAAATCCCATTGAATGTATGTGGAACTCTAGTCACTGCACATACCTTGATCAAGCTTGCCAATCAGTGTGCGGCAAGCAGCTTCTGTCTCTGGACTGTGATGGTCCAGTACCTGCCTGCACCATTTTAAGGGAGAATCTGGTTTCTGTTCCGCAGCTGCATTTTTGTTTGGTGATGCATAGAGCCTGATGGGAAGAGGAAAGAAAAAAAAAGAAAAACCACACAATTTAAATATGTTGAAAGCCAGCACACTTCCATGAATAAATAATGTAGGCAATGGACAAAAGGGGACTTTTTTTTACTGATTGTTTTAAAGACAAAAACAAAATGAACGGATAGATACAAATGTAACATAGTACAAACTGCATAGGAATAAGAACCTTAACCCCTCAAGGACACAACTTCTGGAATAACATGGAATCATGACGGAATATTTCCGTCATGTGTCCTTAAGGGGTTAAAAGCAGAGCTCTAACTTTCCACCTGTCACTAGCCATTGGCGAGTAGAAATTCACCCATGGAGGGTATAATATAACTTGCAATGGTTAGTAACTTAAGGCCTGGCTACTAGCATAGGACTACAAATTTATACATATTAGATAAATAGTGAGCCTTTATACTCCGCTCAAATATTTTATGCAGCCTTTTAGCGGAAATGTATGGATCACTAGGTTTCCAAAACAAATGCAAAAATTGAAGATATTGATAAACAATACAATTTCACTTTAAGATTAATAAAATATCTTACATTAAAATATTCCAACGTCGCCTTTCTTGATACATTCAAAACTACAACTGTCTGTCTCTCCCATGTTTGTTTGGACCTGGTCCCTCTATCAGCGGTTCCCAACCCAGTCCTCAACTCCCCCTTTACAGTCTAGGATTACCCAGTTGTATCTAATGAGTTTTTAGAAAGAAAGGAAAACATTTTAGACACAACAGGGTTATCCCTAAATCCTGGACTGGTAGGGGTACTTGAAGACTGGGTTGGGAACCCTTGCTGTACATGTTTCTCATCACATACTTATTTTGATTCTGAATGGTTAACCTGTTTTGCTTTCATTTTAGCATCTTGGTGATCCATCTGCATATACTGTGGGGAACACACCCCCTCCAAGCATTTTAGCTATAGGGCTGTAAGAATGTGAGCAATTTATATTTAAGCAGACTACAAGGGAATTTAATAGAAAACAGCACTTTCATAAATGAATCCTGTTACTTCTCCCTGGTCATCTGTGAAGATAAATGGAGGCAGACACTTGCCCAGAGCACCTGCATTGGAAAAATGTACATGCTTTCTTTGGAGGTATAGCTATTAAATTGTTTAAAAAGAAAAAAATTCTCATTGTGTGCTCCTTTAAAGGTTTGTATGTATATTTGCTAAGTAGCAAGGGGTAGTACAGAGATTAAAGAAATCCTGTAGACCACTTCAGCCAAATAGGGTGGTCTGGGCCACATGGGCCCCCGTTTTAAACTTGCAGCTGAAAACATTGCCGTACTGACAGCCACTAGATGCACTTATGCAAAATATTTCTATCAGATGATCTCAGAGACCATCCTATAGGCAAAGCCCTGTGTTTTGCTGTGCCTGCACACGTCTCGCAATGCTTTCCTATGGGAAACATTGCACTGGCAAAGATCATCAAGCTTCACGCATGAAGCAAGCAATGCAAGGAAAAAAAAATGTAAGCAAAACTACCCTTTTATTTGTGGCAGTGGGAACCAGGTCACCTAAACGTCACTTACAGGCAGTATAGCGTTAGGAATACACATTTGTATTCCTAATGCTATTCTAGAGTGCATTCTTATATATAACATTTCTTCATGGTTGCAATCTAACCTTTTGTTTGACTGCTAAAAGCATTACAGGTAGACATTTCATTGCTTTGGTTATGCAGAAATGAGTTGTAGCACAGTGAGATAGGACATTACATACACAATTATTTATACAGAGACATACAAATGTAAAACAAAAAGAACTATACGTTAAAAAAAAAAAAAAACATTCTCATCTTTACAATACTGATATAATTTAATTGCAAAAAGGATAATATATCCATTTATACGATTTACAACTGTCAAATGTGTTTAGTGTACAAAAACCTCTACATTATTATATAGAGGATTCCGTAGCAGTGGTGATGTTACGAGTCCCCTGACACTGTCCCTGGGTTTAAAGTGAGACCATTTTAAAACAGTATAACACTTAACTCAGACACGAAGTCAAACCACTCTTGAATAAAAATCTCTAAAGAGGATGTCCCCTTTCTTCTTTAGCAATACTAGTTTTACCCAACTCTGGAAGGAAGTCAGTGGCTAATGAGGGTCAGCTAACACTCTCAGACAATTAATTCCATAAAGACGGACAGAATTGATATTGCTAATTCAGGAAAAGAAATATTGCTCTCAAAAACGGTTTGACTATTTTTAATGGAGCATAAAATACCCCCTTTAAATAGTAAAAAGGTTTAACACTAATCTTGACAATTCACCTCAATCCTGTTAACACAGCATTGTAGGAGAAACATTGTTTCTTCACCTCTCTGTGCACAGCCTCTGATGTAAAGGGCAAAGCATGAAGGGCAGACAAATACAGAAAAAAGCAATAGGGTTTCTACAATAAATTTTCAGACCTCAAACACACTTGTTAAATAACAAAATATTACAAGATGTTTATATTAAAAAATCCTGGGACGTAGTACTTCTCCTTTTATTGGGTGCAGAAGGTCTTAGAACGCAAAGCTGGAAAACATCTTAGCAGTGTAGCCCTGAGGAGAATAACTATTCCTCTTTAAATCAGTGGAGAAACCGAGCAGCGTACATACCCTCATGCATCATAAAAGTTATTAATTTACAGAAAAATAATCCTTTAGTCAACCAGTATCCCAAATGCATTGGAATTCCCCATGCACAAAAGCGTTCTGGAAACTGTGACGCAAAAACGATCAACCTGCAACTGCTATCCAAGGCTTTTCACCAAGCTGTACACTGAATAAACGAGACACGCCAGCAAGTGGTAGCAGAAAATCTAGGTCAAAGTTTTCCCTTCTTTTCCATCTACTGCGTACATAATAAATGTTTCAAGATTTTGAATTGTTTCCGCGTAACTGGATACTGCAGAAAGCCGCAGTGCTGTTTAGAATAAATGCTGTGTATGAATAAGGTAAAAGGTGTAATTGTTTCAATGACTAAAAGACTTGGGAAGGAACTGCAATAATGGTAACTATAACAAAGTGCATTGTGCACAGGAATGGCCAAGAGGAGGAAACATCCTGATATTAAATGGCAGAACTTGCTTTAATTCCTGGATATGATCCTGTCCTTGTATATATGCCAACAATTATTTTCAGTAACGATGAATTTCATGCTTTGAGGGCCACAAATAGATTTAAAAAAAAAAAAAAAAAATTAGGAGACTTTAATTGACCTCCAAAATACTCACCTTAAAACATTCCTGCAGCCGCTGCATTTAAAAACTGAAGAAACAGACAACTGATGAGACCAGACTAAGGCTCTGCCCATCAGAAGCCCATCATTTTGGCTTGTGCATTTTGATTACCCTCCCATAAAGCCCTGCCCAACATGTGTTCAGACCAAAAGCAGCAGCTTTACTGTTGAATAAGGACTGTTTGCTCTCAGTCTGGGTTATACACAAGGTTCATCCAAGCCTTCAAAAACACATGTGCACAGCTGTGACAAAGGCACTGTCAGAGAGCTAAAGAGGGGAAGTGGGAGTACGTAAACTGAAATGGGGTAGTTATTATGGTGGTAACCATTGAGTTAAAAATTTACAGTCACAATTTAAATATTGCATTAAGATTTACTCTGAACTGTGAATTTTGGTGAAATAAATCAGCCTACAAAATTCAGGATCAAAAAGGCATGTTCTAAAACGAAGTTTGAGACGTTACTCATGCTGGCTGTTTGAAATAACTTTTGCAATCTAGTAGTAAATTCACTGCTTAGTAAAGCAACATCTAAGTGTTTCAGAAACACATTAAAATAATTCTCATAAATAAAACAATGAGTTTCATTAAACACAGACAGGATAAGACCATGGTAAACATTTCACTAGAAAGGCTCTGTAGATTATTTCAGGACATTACAGCTTGATTTCATACACACAGACAGAGACATTTGAAGGGTAAGCTGTACAATTCATACCAACAGTCCTCCTCGTCCTCACTGCACGAGCCAAGTTCCAGAACTTCCACTTCGTCAAGGGCAGTTTCATCCAATACATCTACAAGATCTCCAGGTGAATTTAGTTCAGACATTTTCTCCAAAGCTTCTTCCAGCTCTGCTCTGCTACTGAGGTTGAAGAAACAGCTGTCCTCATTATCACAGTGAATGTCTGCCTCACAATCAGGCTTGGGGTCAGAACACACCTTCTCATATGGCATATGTGTATCCACCCTCAAACTTGGGATGTTTTCTTTCTCTGAGCTTATTTGATCGTGCTTAGTCTGTACATTTGGCATAATCTCTCGATCTCCTTTCTCAGTCTGGATATTCATGCTATTCATAACTCCCGTACATTGTAAAGCGGAGAGGTGATGGTCAACCTCTGTGTCGTTCTGAAAGCTTTGAGAGCTCCTCTTCCCCCTTAACTGCTGATTTTGAATTTCCAACCGTCTTACTAGTTCCTGCAGCTTTCGTACTTCTTTTAGATCTGAGCTGCAATCATTCTCGATATCGTTCTCCATAACTCTTTCACAAGCATTTATCTCATTATCATGCTGAACACCAGGCAAAGTCCCAGGAACCACCATCATCAAAATGATCGCTGTAAAATAGGAAAAATAAATAAGGGTGTTATTCAAAGTAAGAACAGAAGCCTCCAGGATGTTGGTACACACTAACCAAATATGCCCTCATCAATCTTGTACATGACAGGATTGTGTACACATCATGCACTTAAATTGCATTAAAAAAAATAGTTGAAAATAGTTAATCTATAGCTTTCTAAGTGAGCATTCAGTAAAGATTTAGCTTAAAGGGATACTGTGGTGCCAGGAATACAAAGTTGTATTCCTGGCACTACCAATCCCTTTCCCTCCCACCACCTCCTACCCAGCGCCAATGGGTGCTTTATCCCAGCGTCAATGTCCCTCGGCGCTGGGTCGACTCTCTGCCCCCTCCTCCTCACAACGAGCGGGCTCTACAGCGCTACGGATTTTGTTGGCGCTATATAAATAAAATAATAATAATAATAATAATACACATGCACATCAAATGCTGCATGTGCATTAGACCTCCCCATACAAAAGCACTGAATCAATGTTTTCCTATGGGGAAAAATCTGACGCTGGATGTTCTCATGCATTTACATATGGCTTGACGTTGAATAAGCATTTTATACAAGCAAAATCTGTGATGCTAACATTCCTTAATATCACTCAATTGCAAGATTAGGTTGTATGAAAAACATTGAGCAATGTCTAACCTGTATTGTATTATATTTGCCTATGTAGTATATTTATATAAGCAGTAGTACAAATACAACTGTTCATATATGTTACTTACAGAAAGCAATAAAATACTATAATAGGATAAGTTAATCGAAAATGAAAAATCTCCAGAAGTCCAATTAAGTGTAAGATTATACCTAGATCCTGCCACCTACCCAAATCTTTCTTTGCAAAATATATGGGTGTGCATATAACCGCTTCCGTCAAAATTAACAAAGAAACGCCTTGTGCGGAGTTTAAGTAAACACACGTGCAAAGCAAACTGAAATAGTGTGCTTTGATTAAACACAACTAAGTATTACAATATTTGTCAGTGTGTAAGAGCTTCATCAAAAAGACATTAATAGATCAAGAAAGGTGACATTTTTCCAATATCTTCACAATAGGCAAGCTCTATACATTACACAAATAATTTATAACAAAAATTGTTGCATCTACGTCAAATATTTTTTATTAAGGTTTTAAAATAATATATCATACAACATTGGCATATATATATATATATATATCTCTTGAAAAAAGTCCGGTGGGACAAACGTCGACACCTTTTTTATTGAAAACTTGATGTTACAATAAAAAGCACGATTTAAAAGATTGCTGAGTCCTGTGAGTGCACTTCAACAAGACATTATATATTCCAAGGTCAGAGTTAGCACCCAGGCAACAACAAGACCGGGAGCAGTGAGTGCGGGATTATTGTGTGAAAAAAAAAAAAGAAGAAATTATATAAATATATATCTATCTGTTGGCGCTATATAAATCGCAATAATAATATATACATATACACACACATAAACCATTGTCAAAATTAAACATGCAATCTAATAAAATACACAAATATAAATATTTGTATATGAAATAAGTAAACTATGTACAGAAATATAATAAAGTGTGACGTAATTAATTGCAACATGGTACTAAAAAAAAAAAATCAGGATGCAGAATATGTATTCAGTCAGGTGGGTTAAATTCTGAATTTATCTTTCACATCATCTTAACAAATTGACCATTCATGCTGCAATAAAGATGTGAAAGATGGATTACGAAAAGCCAATTCACACCTTTTATTATAAGACCTCACCCACAGTTGGTAGAGGGGGTGACTTCCAATGACAAAAGATGATGGAATTAGCGGATATGAGAAGATGGCCTAGTATAATTTTTTTGTATCTCGGCAGGTTAGATGGAATTTTCTAAAAGAGACAAAGACACAGGGATAATATTATATTGAATTCTAATATGTGATTAATTAATTCGCGAATTTTCGGCCAATACGTTTTAATTTTGGGACACGAATAGAAGACGTAGAGTAATTCACCAATTTGACCGCAGTCTCTCCAGCATTTATAATTTTCGCTAAGATGCATGTTAAAAAGTTTGGAAGGGGTTAGGTACCATCTAAAAAAATTTTAATGGAATTCCAAATTGTTTGCACATTGAGTGATACCTTTTAACGATAATAAAAATTAAATTCCACTCCTCTATTCCACATGAAATTCTCATATCATTAGGTCAAGACTGTACATCTGAAATTCTGCAAAGCCATTGTTAGCATATTATAATTTAGTCAATATAAGAACTCTAAATATTATTTAAGGAACACTAGTTGTATTGGAAAAAAGAAGGCAAAAAACACTATTAAAAATCTCTTATAGAAAGGTTTAGTTATCTGGTAGACTTTCACGGCTAAAAAAATAATAACAAAACGCACTGAGCAATATTTTAGGCCAATTAATTATACTACCAGCAAACAGACATGGATTCACTACTAAGCACAAAAAGCCAGCGTATTAGGAAACACACCTATTTGGACAGCATCTGGATTTGAAATGCATCTTTACTCTTCCAAGGACTTGAGGACTATCACACAGTTTTACTGGACTTCAAAATACTGGCCAATAGAATATGACAAATATCAGACATCCATGGACATTTGAGAGCCACATGTATTTGTGTTATCATACGTTTATGAAAGTCTTTGTCAAATGCTGATCAAATGCAGTCCATTATGGAACCCCAGCAACTGGCATCCAGTGAAGTCCAATCATGCCTAAAAGTTAAAGATGGTATATCACCATGTTATACTACTGGATGATATTGTGGCAAGTGTTAACGACACTGCCCCAGAATGTATTACTGGTTATGGAACATGAATAAAAGACAATTCATTGACATAAGGGTAGTTTTTGCATTATAGCACAATGTCAAATAGAGGGAAAGGTACGTGGTGACTTTCACTTGTCCTAACAAAGCTGGGGTATCCTACAGAGTTTTACTAATGGTAATTATTGACCATTATGTGGGTCCTAGTGAGGTCTTCTTAGAAAGCCAAGAAAGATAGGGATATTAGTGATGAAAAAGACAGATAAAAAGTACTGGTGATATACTGATAGAATGTCAAAGCATGATAAAGTCTCAGATTGAAGGAAAGGTCAATTAACACATTCTAGAGATGCCGTTCCCAGGAACATATTAAGAGTTACCGTAGAATGATCAATGGTTCCCAAGAAAAGACAGGATGTAGGAGTAACCACTGACAATAGAGAGTGACTAAGTGGCCCTAATGATATGGTGACTGATGAAATGTTAAAATCTACGGGGCAAATGAATGGGATTCCAGGGATAGAGTTATTGAAGAAATGGCAATCTTTGGATAGTGTGAGTGAATGGCATCCCCAGGATGAAAGGTGTGAATTAATGCAGTTCCCAGGATTGCGCGATGGATGGGGTAAGTGAATGAATGGATGTGTGAATGAATGATCGATATTGTTCTTGGGATGTAGAGATCGATGGAAAGGGCCCTCACGATAAAATGATGGATGATAGGCGATCACAGGATGGAGTGTGTGAAAGAAAGGGATCACCAAATGGGGTGAACAGTGGAAATGATCTCTGGAATGGAACAAGTGTGAATGAGGCGAGTGAATGCCCGATGTAATAAATCCAAATTAATAAGGTGATCTAGTTGGTGACAGAATAGAGTGAGTCAATATAAGTGATCCCTTGGAATGGAGTGAGTGAATGTAAGCAATGGAAGGGGTGGCAGGGAATAGTGTGTCAGTGTAAGTGAGTGAGTGAATATAAGAATTGGAAGGAGTCCTGGGGTACAGGGTGAGTGAATGAAGTAATGAAAGGGGTCCTAGGGGACAGGGTGAGTGAATAAATGTTGGAAGTGATGGAAAGGGTCCAAGGGGCCAGGGTGAGTAACTAAATGGAGGAAGTGATGTAAGGGATCGTAGGGGACAGGGTGCGTGAATGACTGTTGGCAGTGATATAAGAAGCTCTAGAGCAGGGGTCCTCAATCTCTGGCCCCCCAGATGTTGCTGAACTAAAACTCCCATGATTCATTGAATTACATAGATAGCCAGAGAATCATGGGAGTTCTAGTTCAGCAACATCTAGGGGGCCGGTGTTTGAGGACCCCTGCTCTAGAAGAAGGGGTGAGTGAATGAAGTGATGGAAGGCTTTCCTAGTTAAGGAGTCCCAGGGAATGAGGTGAGTGAGGGACTCAGGGAACATTGTCTGTGAATGGATAAGGTAAAGCATGGGATGGGGAGAGTGAATGAGGGAAGTGATAGGTAATAAAGCCTATTTACCTATCAGAGAAACTAAGATAATGGAGGTGGTGGTGGTGATGGGGATGATGGAGGTGGTGATGATGGAGGTGGTGATGATGGAGGTGGTGATGATGGAGGTGGTGATGATGGAGGTGGTGATGATGGAGGTGGTGATGATGGTGATGGGGATAATGGAGGTGATGATGGGGATAATGGAGGTGATGATGGGGATAATGGAGGTGGTAGTGATGAAGATGATGGTGATAATGATGGAGGTGGTGATGGGGATGATGAAGATGATGAAGATGATGGTGGTAATGGAGGTGGTGATGGTGATAATGGTGATGGTGATAATGATGGAGGTGGTGATGGTGATAATGATGGAGGTAGTGATGGGGATAATGGAGGTGGTAGTGATGGGGATAATGGAGGTGGTGATGGGGATAATGGAGGTGGTAGTGATGGTGATAATGATGGAGGTGGTGATGGTGATAATGGTGATGGTGATAATGATGGAGGTGGTGATGGTGATAATGGTGATGGTGATAATGATGGAGGTGGTGATGGGGATAATGGAGGTGGTAGTGATGAAGATAAAGCTATTGGAGGTGGTGATGGGGATAATGGAGGTGGTGATGATGGAGGTTATTGGAAGCCTGTGGTGCTGTCGATGATGACCCTGCCGGTGATTACACGGTGTTATTACAGGTGGTGTCAGGCCTTACCATTACCGGATCGCTGCCAGGCCGCACACCCCGGTACAGGGAGGAGACAATAGGGAGCAGCGAGGCCGCCGAGCCCCGGACACAGCGAGACAAAGGCCGAGCCTGCCACCGAGCGAGCGGCCTCCTCCTCCTCCACTCACACCATCAGCACTGCCCCCCACCCCCGTCCATCCCGCCCGCCTCACCTCACCACCTGCACAGCTGCAGCATCTCGCGGGAGCGCGCGCACTGCTTCGCTAGCCGGAGGGGGCGGGGCGCGCGTGCTCACACCTTCATAAAGAAGAGGGCGGGGCTAACGGTTCACTGGGCTCTGCTTATCGAGGGCGGAGCGTATCGCAGCGTCGTAGAGGCAGAGTGGGTGGGACTATTTGGTGGAGGAGGTTCTAATCGATGGAGGGCGTGGACTCTGAATTCAAGATAATAAATGATGTCAGGGATTGGCTACTATAATCAGGAGGCGGGGTCCACTGAGCTGTGACGCGCTGTAGTTGTTATTGGTGGTAACTCCACCCACTAGTCGCTTGTTTTTAACCATTTCGTGACCAAAGGCATGTGATGATGGCCTACATTGTAAAGCTGTCTAAAACTACAATTCCCGTGATTCTTTGCAAGCCTGGCATTAAAGGACAACTGTCATTTCTAAGCAAATTAATTACGATTAAATAAAGAATTTTAAACAGGGGTGCCCAAAAGGTAGCTCCCCAGATGTTTTAAAACAACAGCTTCCATGATGCTCTGTCATTCGAAGGCATGCAAAGCATCATGGGTGTTGTAGTTTTACAACATTTGGGGGTCTTTTGGGCATCCTATGATTTTAAATATTATTTAAATAGTGTTTAATTTCTTTTTATGTGATGCAATGTTTTCTTTCTGACCCTATAGTGTTTCTTTAAATGCATCAAATTCAGTTTTAAACACATTGAAAAGCAGGGGTGTTTTGCATTCCTTTTGCTAACAGATATTTTCCTAAATTGTTCGCTACTTAAAGGGACACTATACTCAACAGAGCAAGTACAGCTATATATATTTGTTCTGGTGAGTATAATCATTCCCTTCAGGCTTTTTGCTGTAAACACTATCTTTTCAGATAAAATGCATTGTTTACATTACAGCTTAGTGATAACTCCATTGGCCACTTCTCAGATGGCTACTAGAGGTGCTTCGTGGGGCAGTGCTGCACAGTGTGCAGTACTACCATTCAGTGTCTCCACCCTCTACATGTAGACACTGAACTTTCCCCATAGAGATGCATCCCAGGGCTGTGTTTGACTTGTACTGACTCTGCCTCTGATCTGCCTCCTTGATATTCTCAGCCAATCCTTTGGAAAAGCATTGTGATTGGATCAATCCACCTCTTATGATGATGTCAGCAGGCAGATCAAGGGCAGAGGCAGCAGCAGCAGACTTGAATACAAGTAAGATTTTACTATATTTAAGAGAGTACAGGGGGTACAGATGGTGGTTGTAACACTATAGGTTCTGGGATACTTGTTTGTGTTCCTAACCCTATAGTGTTTCTTTAAATGCATCAAATTCAGTCTTAAATACATTGAAAAGCGGGGGTGTTTTGCATTCCTTTAGATTTGTCCTATGTTGAATAAAAATTGACAACAGAAAATATCCCTTAAAACAATAGTTTATTTATTAATGAAATACCGGTCATGTGATACATAACTGAAAAAAGATATATACTTTATGAATGATTACATTATATAACATTGCATACAATAGTACTTTGATAACTCCTGTCATAAACGAAACTCCAGTTAAATCTAGCGCAATTTCATAAAACAATGGAACTAGTATTTTAAATGAAAGCATTTCTTATAATGCACCTTTTATCTTTGCCCAGCAGAGAGATTCCATATGGTCTTATTGTTGTATTGTTGACCTTTATTTTGACTATAGTACAATATATTTTCTCATTACATTTACTTACTAAACACTTGCAATGAAAAAGTATTAATTGGCCATGCCTGACAATTTGTGTCAAAGATTCATCATCTAACATGTAATCATCAGTTGACTTGACATCAATTTAAGATAATGTAATCTATGTAAATTTAAGCTTGGAAAAATTATAAAGTGATGACATTTTTAAGCGAATATAATACTATATGCAAAGTAACTATTATATGCCAAGTTTTAAGGCAATTATTTTGAGGGGGAAAAAGGATGTATTTTAAAGATTTACATATCTCCCAGCAGTCCCATGTCAGCTTTGAGTCCTGTCCGGCACCCTTGGTTTGGTTTCCAGGTGTCGAACATCTGGGAACACATGGAAAATATTTCCAATCAGCACAACACATTAAAGGGATCCTACAGTGCCAGGAAAACAAAGCCATTTTCCTGGCACTATAGGTTTAATAGCCCACCTACACTCACTCAGGCACCACACACTCATGACTCATAGAAACAGCCCTGGGCTCTAGGAGGAGGCCCCAATCTGGCACCCTGCCCAAGGCCCTTGGAAACCTTAATCCAGCTCTGCATCCAGGGGCTTCCTGAATTATCTTTTTTGTGTGTGTATGCATGTGTTTAGCATTTTTACCAGTAGGAAGGTAGACACCTTTGATCAGAATACCATTGCCGGGGCTGTGTCTTAACACCTTAACAAAGAATCTCTTAACAAAGAACCCCTGTTGTGCTTGCAGCCAGAACTTGGTAATTAACAAATAAGAATCAAGACCTTTGCAATAAAGATTTGAATTCACATCAGCCGTCTAAGTGAATCAGTGAATCATAAAATAGTTGTGTGGGCTGGAGGAATTTTATGTGATCAACATTGGGCTAGACTTAAGAGCTTCCACTGGCCTACTAAAGAGTCTTTGTGTAAGTTCTGTTTTTTTATCAGGTGATTCTACTCTGAGCTAGTTCACAAGCATCCTGCCAGTACTAGAACTGGCATTCGGCATAACCCTTAAAGGGACTGTCAAAGCACCAAAAACAACTTCATCTAAACTAAGAAGTTATGGTGCCAGCAGACCCTATGAGGCACTCTTACCTCAAGTGGTTAAACCGTTCTCGAATGGTTTAACCTTTAAGTTGCCTCCAGCTGCAATGTCCACTCCACCCAAGCCGGCTCATTATTTTCAGATTCAGGAAGCACACTCTCAGCCAATCAGCGACTTCCCATTCACTAAATTAGCTTGGAAAGAAATGTCCCTTTTCCATCTTAAAAGCACAATCAATATATGCCTTCCTTTGTTCCAATTTGACATGCTTAATACCTGCAAAATGGAGATCTCTCAAAGAGCCTCCGTGATATGCCTGTAAATATCGTGAGATGGGAGTATCTCTTTCGCTAATTGACATGTTCCATTATTCTTGTGTGGAATGTCCTGAAGGTTTTCCCTTACATATTTAAGGCTGCAGCTACAGAGGAGAAGATATACCATAGAAACATAGAATGTGACGGCAGATAAGAACCATTCGGCTCATCTAGTCTGCCCAATTTTCTAAATACTTTCATTAGTCCCTGGCCTTATCTAATAGTTAGGATAGCCTTATGCCTATCCCACGCATGCTTAAACTCCTTTACTGTGTTAACCTCTACCACTTCATCTGGAAGGCTATTCCATGCATCCACTATCCTCTCAGTAAAGTAATACTTCCTGATATTATTTTTAAACCTTTACCCCTCTAATGGTCTCTAATATGGTCTCCTCCTTTACTGTGTTGATTCCCTTTATGTATTTAAATGTTTCTATCATATTTCCCCTGTCTCATCTTTCCTCCAAGCTATACATGTTAAGATCCTTTAACCTTTCCTTGTAAGTTTTATGCTGCAATCCATGAACCAGTTTAGTAGCCCTTCTCTGAACTCTCTCTAAAGTATCAATATCCTTCTGGAGATACGGTCTCACAAGTGTTCTGTACAATGGCATGAGCA